AATAATTAAAATTACAGTTTAGCAAGAATTATAATTTTAGTTCCAAAAATATCATTGAGCATTGGTCAGCAATGATTGCATTCAATTTCTGAAATTTAATAATTTTTGAAGGTTTATGCACCTAACCTATTTTGGTTTGGAAGAAAGCATATTAGGATGCTGGTAGTCGCTATTTATTATTTCCCCTTTCTTTGACAACCGTTCTTGTTTTATTTGGTTTCTCAAGTGATATAAGGTTTTTTAAAATTCTGTAACTTAATATTGACTCTCTATTTAATATATTTATTAATGGGGTAATGAGTAAATGGTTGTTTAAAATAAAAAGAGGGAAAAAAAAGGAGAATCAGTGAGTTACGTTGTAAATAAATAAGAAGCTCTTTAAGCAATAATTTTCAACACTTGGGTCGACAACGGCATTTATATATTTACTTTTTTCCGCAATCTATTCTTTAGCTTATTTATTCTTTTCTTGATATGTCAATAAAAATTCATCAATCATTTGTTTTAAAATAATGAAAGAAGCTGAAATGTTATTATTGTGTATGTAAAATCAAGTTTTACCAATAAATATCAATCTGTTTTTGGTCCCCTTCCCCTCAAATTTAAATTCTGGCTGACAACGACCATGATAGGTAGCATTAATTAATTTGGTTTAAAGTTCGTCATTATGTGTTCTTTAAACTATTAAGAAAAACAATTTATGCTTACATTATTTTAATTTACGAAATTGGACATTTTTCCGATGGGTTCGGAATATTGACCCTCCAAATATCCGCAATCTATAAAATATGGTCCCAATAGTTTGGGCAGAAAAACGGTTGACAATTTGGACCCCTTAATGTTAATTTATTTTTTTCCATATTGCTTTTTGCACACAATTTTAAAACTCTTCTATCTGAACTAATTCCGTGCAAAAAATTACTTTTCAAAATTATTTATTAGTTAATTTGAGAATGGTTGAAAAAACATTGAATTGTTAGGTATTCTAATTTACACACCAATTTAATCTGCATAATTTTAAATTAAAAGATCCAAAATTTGAAGAAAATCTGTGGAATAGTTGTAATGAAAATTTAAAAACCCGATTACTTTGAGAGGGCTAAATGCGAGCGAAGTCAAATTAACATTAAGGGGCCTAACCGCTCTGTTCCGTAAATCTTTGAGATCATATTTTCCAGATTGTATCTCCCTTCCCCCCGCTCGGTTTTGAGGGTCAAGAATCCTAAATCGGAAGGAAAAAAAAATTTGTTAATGCATGTAAAGTACCATCTTCTGTTGGATTTCGTAACTTAAACTATAGTTTGCTCAAATTAACCTTAATTTGCATATTTAAGGTTAGGTAGTAGAACCATTAAGATTGGGAGCAAGTATGCGAATCATTACATATAACAAAAGTTTTTTTTTTAACAAAAGTTTTGTACATTTAGTGCTAGGTAAATAAATAAAATGAGATAAGAAATATGTAATAAAAAATACACTTTTGGTCATTCTTAGGAAATAATTTTTAAGATTTTAAAAGGTTCATTGTTTTATTTAGCATGCATCTCTTTCCATTTTAACACCAATATTATGACCGGTCAACGTAGCCATCTTAGGTTTATGTAACAATTAAAAATAATAAGTATAGGGGCCTAATATATTTAAGCCCCTTAATAACTCATATATTTATGGTTAAAAAAAATTTCTGTAAATTTATCCATAAATATATAAGTAGGCCGTTCAACTACGGCCATAAAATAAAATATGGATTTTTGCAAAAGACGTGTGCAGGCAAACTTCAAACGCTCTGTTTTTCACTCAAAAAGGAATTTTCGTCACTACGAAAAAACTGGTTGTGTACCAGTTTTTATTAATATTATAAAAATTTATTCTTAATGTATTAAACAATAATTGTCCATGAAGTAACATCTTTTTTACCTATCAGCTTTGCATTACAAAATGAATGTACGTTACTAAAAATTACACATTATTTGCAATTCTTATGAATTACAGAAATACCAATTTACCTAAATGATGTATGATGCTGTTTAAAGTAGCGAAGTTTTTAAACTGAAATTGCCAATTTTCTTTTTGTTGCTTTCGATCAGTGGTCAGATATAGCGTTCTACAAGTAACGAAACTGTTGTAGTCGCTATTTTTTCCGTAGTTTGTAGTGTAGTGCACTACTTTTTAAAAGAAGTAGTGCGATACAAAAAAAGACAGTAGTTTGTATCGATTCCTGTCAACTACTTTTAACGTTAGTTAAATAAAGAAACAGAGTTCAAACGCAAAAAAATTTCGAATCTGATAGGTGTAAATCCTTTGCGGGCCCGTCAACGTACGCAATAAGAATGCATCTGTGGCCGAAAGTTAAAAAGATCTACGTGTGATGCTCGGAAAAATCGGTGCGAAATGGGTCTAGTTATTCTTGAGACATCGAATTTTAAATATCTGACTTTTTTAAAATTCGATTTTACAGGAACTATAAAGTACGTTTTTAGGTCTGATTTCGTAACTTAAAATATCGTCTGCATTAATCAATTAGCATATTTGCGGCCACTCCCTCAAACCATTAAAATTGAGTCCTAGAACGTAAAGATCCGATCATTAGATCAAAATTTATTTAGGGCCGTCCATTTTTTGAACTGAACTTTATTACTTGGAGTATACAAAAAAAGCATTGATCTCTTAAATGACATATTTGAAAACTTCCTAGCATTTCTTAAATTTCTATCGTGAAAAGCATTGAGTTTGAAAGTTTAAAGAACAAATTCGCAAAAAGGGCTTTGGAATAAAAAACTATTTCATGTAAACATGAATTAAAATTTCATAATATCTCCTCATATTCCTAATATCCAAGCCAATTTTTTATTCAAAATCATTTTGAATATTGATGAAAGTTAAGTTTGTCTTCTAAAAGCAGCGAGGTAGTGACTATATTTCGAAAGTAGTTTGTAGTCTCTACATTTAAAAAAAAAAGTAGAGATAGTTAACAATAAAGAAAATGTAGTTTTTCCGACCACTGCTTTCGATTATAGAAAATTAAGACCATTTTGGCCGAATATGTCATTGCAAACAATGGTTGCTCTTCCTTGTAATCTCAGAATTAATAAAATAGCTTGTTGCCTATTTAAGAGATTGCTGGGACGTGGCAATAGTTTCTTAAAATAGAACCTATCTATTCATTTACCATTTATGGTCTGTCGATTAGACATTAAAAGTCTGGACGCGTCGGAGGTGATGGATAGAGCGGTCTACTTACGCTTGTATGGAACACATCTCGTGTAATTGTACAGATTGGTGTATTTCATGAATAAAAGAATTCTGGCCGATGTTCAAGTTGATTTCAGGTATAATAAGTTCCAACTCTAGGTCAATGTTGAATTTTGGAGATAAACCAACTGTAAAACCTCTATTTTGAACAAATGACAAAGGAAAAGTGGTTGCCAATTGCATGCTTTAGTGATTTTATCCAAGTATGATGAGTTTATAAACTAAAAGAACCATTGTAATGCTTGTGGAATTGTAATGTTGTTAATGTTTTCTTCTTATCTTCTTTTTTTTATGAGCTGCTTAAGTCAACGGTTCCCGAAAGGTGTTCCGTGGAATTATAAATAGGGGTTTTGAGTGTTAGAATATTTTTTTTACCAGTAATAATTATATTTATATCCACTCAATATTCCATAATTTTTTAAGTATCTCGGTTGTTTATATAAAATTATTTATGCATTGCCAATGAATTAAAAGCATATTTAAAAAAATAATTTTTTTTTTCGTAACAATACATTTAAAACACTTTTTGGAAAAAATGTGCTTACATTAAGAATTCCATAAATATTTCTCATCAAGCTTTTCAATTCGAAATAAAATAAGTCAAGATAAAGAAGTCTGTTTCTATTCTTAACGTTTATAACAGTTCTTTTTTGAAAACCGTTATTCTGCTGATTTATATCATTTTCTACAAATGCATACACCAATAACACAAATTCATGATTTAAAATCTTTCATTTTCTTCACATTAAATAATTTCAACATATTTTTTTTAATACTAAATAAGTAACGTGATGTAAATTAAAACGTACAGAAACGTTGCTATTATTCCTGCAAAGATCTTTTCACATTAACGACTGCCTAGTGAGTAACGAGTTCCTAGTGATAATCAAGTTAATTTGCAGATTAACTGTGTAATTAGAGAAATGAAACAGTTTTTGACACTTTAATAGATGGTCCTAGATAATCTGCACATAACCTAAATAATCTATAGAATAACTTATTTCTGCACTTTAGTGGTAGCATTTAAACAAAATTTTACTTAAAATAATAACCATTAAATTTTGCTTCACCAATTTGTTTCCAATTACGATTGGTTGCACATATTTTTTTTTCTTCTTCATTTTAACTTAATTTTATTTATTTTACAGTATAAGACTTATGATAGTAATAAAATACTTATGTTGAATTTAATTCATAGGTTACATAAATTATTTAATAACACAATGTATAAGTTAAGCTAGAAATTAAAGCAGAGATGGAAAGTTTCTTTGACAGTGGGAAAACCTCTCTCACGCAGGAAGAAATAAAAGAAACTCTTATTTTTTTAAAAAAAAGAAAGAAAGAAATATCAAATACTATTACAGCAATTTTTTAAAATGGTTTAATTATAGCTACAATCTAGTTTTAACTAATGGCAATCAATTTCTAGCTAAATACCATAATCAAATTTTATGAATACAGTTAAATTATTTAATCATAACCATATCGTGTTATCACTATGGCTAATGGTATATTAATTTCTATGAACAAATGCAGTTAATTATGAGTTCCCAAAACAACTCTTAATGTGCTAGAGGTATTTCTAATTTGATATGTATGCATTGCATAATCAACGGCATTTTTTAACTTATAAAATAATAATAATAACGTCTAAACTGTATGAATATCCTTTAAAAATAAGAAAAATTGAAAAAAAATTTATTTTCCCCTTCTGCAAAGTCAAGTTAATCATAAATTTTTTTTTTCAGAGAACAATCCAAAGAAATGTTTTATCATGCTTATCAAGCTTACATGGTAAGTAACAATTTTATTAATTTCTTCTCCGTTGAACTGTATTGTCTATATGCCTGTGTTTTCTACTATTATTCAATTTTAAATCATAGCCATGAATGATTTTTTTGTATTTAAATATTTTATGCCTTCACTGTTATTTTGTGCTTTTTTGAAATTTGTCTTTGCTTCGTTTAATTTCATTTGTTCATCTTTCAAATTCATGACAATAAACATGAACGAAATGTAATATTTTTCATAAGCATAATACATTTGATGGAAAGCAATCTGAGCTTGGAATATTGGTTGTACCGTTGCGCAAAGTAAACAAAAACACACAAAAGATAAGAACTCTATATTGGTCAGATTTTATGATGCAATGATTAGCAAATTTATTTTAAATATGCTATATTAATAAGCTCGGGCGAATAAGTTATGAAATCAGATACAGAAAGACGCACATTCTCTGAAAACACACTTCAAAAATTATTGGAATTTTAAAATTTTTTTTGCTAATTTATCTTTTTTTTTTTTTTTTTTTTTTTTTTTTTTTTTTTTTTTTTTTTTTTTTTTTTTTTTTNTTTGCTGCGCGAAAGCTGTAAAACTTCGAAACTTGAAATTACAAAGGTGTGTAGAGCATAATGGAGAAACAAAAAAAAAAACAAAAAAAATTTAAATTTCGATTATGTGTTTGAGAATTATCAACCGTTATGGTAAACTTATAGTAAAAAAAAAAAAATATTATGTGGGCTGATCTACTGCCCGCTTAGAATACAACTAGAAAGATAATATTCGACGTGCTAAAAGGGCCATTTTCATTTACGAATTTAACGCATATTTTTTTTGAAAATCCAATTTGTTCTAACGTTACAGCAATTTCAAATGTTTTTTTGTGAATACCTTTTTTACTTTTTTTCTTGCTTTTTTAAATAATGATTATTTATCCAATGTTGTAGAAAAATATATAAATTTTTTTCGAGTTCTTCATTTTATAACTTTTGCACTTAATGTCAAATTTAACAAACAAACAAAGTGAGAGAGGGAGACATTAGATGTTGCCAGATATAAATCTTAAGATCTCAACATTTGTATCGAAAATTTTAAATGTATAATACTAGTTTCAAGTGAGGTAAAAACTGTTTCTAATTTGAACTGTCATACATTATAAAGTTATTTTTATATATTGTTAATTAGTGAAAAAAACAGCTCTCATTTATTATTTCTAAGTGTGTCACATATTTTGTGTTCCTAAGTTTAAAAAAAAAAATTGTACAAGTTTTTTTTTTTTTTTGCAAGTACAGTTGATCATTTTTTTAAATCCAATTAATCGTTCACTTTGTTACTATAAACAAAATGTTCTTATATAAAATTATAATACATACTTATATATTTTATAAACAAAATGCTTTTTTCTTGGGGGGGGGGAGGGGAGATATATCGACTTTTAAGGACTTTTAAAACGTAAAAATGAATGCGAGGCAACCACGGGGGTTGGTGAGTGGAGCCTCCTGGACTCCTTTTCAAAATCATTTTATATAAAATGATATCATATTTAACTGTCTATATAAGAACTTTATTTTGCTTACTGCGAAATTCCGATTGTTGATATTCATTCTTAGTGAATGAGTAAAATTAAAGTAATGTGAAGTAATAATTACATTTATTTTTACTCATTATTGTGCATTATGTAGGATTACTCTACAAGAATCTTAGATTATTGCGAGTTTGCACTCACGGAATCAACTATAAAACGTAGCATTGTACTATTTTTCTGAAATTCTTGACTTAAAAGAAATTATAAGTAAAATTTTGAAGCTTCAAATGGCAATTAAATTATTCACAGTTAATAGCTTTTTTTTTTTTTCCTGAGGGATCAGTGGTTTAAAACTCGCAATTCAACTGCGTTTTGAAAAACTTCTAATTCTTTTCTTTTATCTATACATATGAATCATTTTTTAAATCTTTTATGTACCCTTTTTTATTCCAAGTCTTATGACCTGGTATTAAACAAGCATATGTAGTTTTAATATGGTGCTGAAATCAGGTATGTATCAGCAATATTACTTTTTATTTTCAAAATTTTACTAATTTCTGAAAATTAGTTCGTCGATGTGATGTGACAGCTTTCTAAAATCTATGTTTTACTTTCTGATGGTTTTCACCTTATCTTCTAAAAGCAATTCTTACCAAGTAGTTTATTTTAAAAGTGTTACGATTCTGACGTAGAACTGCTATATGCAGTTAAAAAATTTTATTGGCAATACATGTATCTTTCTTATCTATAATTAGCATCGATTCTTCCATTTGCTGTATTTGTTTATAGTGCTCTTTAGATTACAGTAAAGCTGGTTTTATGAAACACTTAATAGTCGAAATTGCTTTTAAAGGTTAACGTTAACGTAAGTCTTGTAGTGAATGTTAAAAATAATTATCTTTCTGAGAGGAATTTTCAGTTCTATTATTATTATTATTATTTTTAAGTTTAATTCATTGATCACGCAACAAATGAAATATAGTCATACTCATTTATGACTGTAGTTTGATTATAGTGTTAAGAGATGTTCATGAAAATAAAGCGCTCGGCAATGTTTTTTTAAAAAAATTATTTTTATTTCCAATGGCTAGGCAAAAAGGTACAAATAAGAAAGATGAAATAAATAACGAATACAAATGTACGTAGGATAACAAAGAAAGAAGACCGAAGTCATTGCCTTAAAAGTTCTCTTGCTTCCCAATATCTTGAGGACTCAGTGTGTCAGTGTGAAGCACTGCACATAGAAGCAGGTGGTCCCTACCCAATTTCTCTCCAGATTTACAAAGTGGACAAAAAGGCGTGGTGGAATGGAAAGGCCTATGCGGTATAAGTAAGCAGAAAGACAATCGTGGCCTGTATATAAGCGGAAGGCCGCAACTGCATCACGTCTTGGTTTGCCGGGAATTAAAGAAGATCTTGCATTTCTCCAACTTTTCAAAGCTGTGCGAGTCTGAAGGTCTCGCAATGAATTTTTTTTTTTTTTTAGTGTGACCACCTGCATAGCATAAAAAGTATATCATTAAAATTTGTCATCTACTCCAGCATATATTTGAAAAATTTACATTCTGTCTATCATGTATGCATATGAAACTTGAAGTATTTCTTAGAAATGTTATCTAATCTGTTTATTTGTGTGAATGAAACAACTGGTCGGGTGAAAAACTATCATCTGCTGAATTAAACTTGTTCAAGGAATAAAAAAAAAAGACCTGGAAATGCGCTTCATATTAAATTTTAGTAACAGTTTTACTTATTCTTCTTCAGGATACTTTCTATAAAAAAAAATTTATGCACCTGTATGGAAATATTTATTAAAGTTTTCAATGAACACTGGTTCCTCTTTTTTTGGAGTGACTTTGTTTTTTTTATGAAAAGTAGATTTTTACTTAATTAAATGTCGGCACCTACAAGAGGATATTTTAGGGGTAATGTTAGCCCATCACGAAACAAATTATCGTTAAATCGAACTCTTCGCGAAATATTTTATCGTTAAAACGGACCCTTGTCAAAATATTTTATCATAAAATGGACCTTACACAAAATAATTAGCGATTAGGTTTTAAAATCAAATCTTGAAGTCTCTTCACAATATTTTTCATTTTAGAAGCGGAGTGGATGGCGTCTTTAATGTATTAGTTAACTACCAAGACATGTTTTTTTTTAGTTTTTTCACACATTCTCAAAAACAGGAGACTGCCAAAAAGTAATCGATTCTACGATAATTATACATTCAGATAATTGTGTGCAATTTTTTTTAATATAAATTCCCATAAACTTGATTTTTCTGTAAATAGTTGGATTTTTTGATAGTTTTTCATTAGGAGAATTTTTTATAAATATTTTTTACAGAATTCTTGGTCTAACAATAAATTCGTTCTTTTTCAGTGTGAAAAAAAAATCTAATTTCGATATCGTCAGGTTGCGAAGTAAAAAAATAAGTAAATACATAATAAATTGTTAGTGTTTATCTCCATCGAGTTGTGGACAAGCAATTGGGCGAGTTGCTGATTAATAAATATCGACTCTCGATATCGTCAAGATGTGAAACAAAAAATAAATAAATACATAATAAGTAAAGCAATAAATTGTTAGTGTTTATCTCCATCGAGTTGTGGGCAAACAATTACTACGAAATTTAACGTCTCGTTATTGTGCCAAAGTCCGATTTCAGAATTTCTGACTAAACTTTTTTAGACAGTTTTCTTTTTCATTTTTTTTCTTTCTTTCTAATTTTTTTTTTAAAAATTTAGGGTTGTCAGTACCACCGTAATTTTTTATATATCGAGTTTTTAGGACACATTGAACTATATTTGTTGTTGAAATCGCTCCATGAAGTAATAGGGTTCTTTTTGGGACGTTACTTTTTTGTTACTCATAAATCAGGGAAATGATTAGCTTCCCTATGGTTACGGTCAAAGTTGCGAAATTAACCTATAAATTTTAATTATAACAAAATTTCTTAAATAGTCATTCAAAAATAATTCAACGTTTGATCGCGATTAACTATCAAAACTGTTTGACCGTTATTAAAATTTCCAAATCTGATTTTAAAAAATTACGTATCGCAAAATTTAATCCACAAAATTTTATTTTTCAGATTTCATTTTACAGGATGTCCTACAATTATCGCAAAAAGTAATTTTGGTTAAAAACACTGGTTTCTTATTAAAAATTAAGAAACTTTTAATGATTCATTTAATATTATTAATTATAGAATATCATGGCTAAAACCTTAATAATTTCTACTGTTTTGCTTGCTCTTACTCTTATTAAAATTCTCAATCTATTACCGTTACACCTAAATGTGTGGAATTTCGTTTGTGGGCTGTTCATATTATAGTAGGTCATATGGTACTATGGAAGATCGTACAAGATCATAGGGCGTTAAATAATTCGATCTGGGCGAATGACCAAAGAACGGGAAATTACAGGACCAAGGGATGACTCAGCAATACTCAAAATGTTGCTCAACATTGAAAATGCCTGGCTCTTTCGTGTTGCGTGTTCCGTTTTTGGATAACTCAAAATCTCAAAATCGTTCACTTTTTTATTCTTTATACGTATTTCATTAGTAACGTAGTGTTGTGCGAAAGGCGCAAAATTCAAATCTCTCGTGAATTTAAACTTTTACCTGTTTGCACAAAATTTCTATTTAACATGTTTTTCATACTTTTTTCATTATTTTGTATTAATTTAGATCAAAATAAATATTATAATTATCATTTCAACGATTTATGATGGCTATGAAATACAGCATGAAGCACCGGTGCCTTTTTCTGTGTTAATGGTAAAATCTCCCAAACACGACTCACTCCCAAATAATAATTTTTCAAATTTGCAATTATTTAAATCTAAGAGAAACAGTTAATCATCATTGAAATTTCTTTGATTAAAATCGATAAGTGATAAATATTTGAATATGAATAATTTAAAAAATACATTAAACTACTTTTTTTTAAATTTTTTATTTTAGTACAAAAATAATTCAGATAATCTGAACAGATTTTTTTAGTAACTATTGGACTGTTTTATATAATTAAAAGAAAATATCAAAAAATTAATTTTACTTGTAATTAGAGCATTAGAAAAAAAAATGCATAAAAGGAACACCGGTGTGCCATCACAGGGTTAAATAAAGGTAGTCATTTGTGACAAAAAGTAAACAAAGGTAAAAGGAAATTAATCTCTTAAGTTTTACATAAATGATCAATTTTATGTAAATGAACTGTATTCATGATTTTGAAAAAAAAGTATTTATTTTGTAGGATCATGCATATCCTGCTGACGAGCTTATGCCTCTAAGTTGTAAAGGGCGATATCGTGATATTGAACCCAATCGTGGGGACATAGATGATGCTCTGGGAAAGTATGTTTACTTTTCTCTGATAATAACAGTGTGGTTAAAATTAACCTGGTTGTACTCTGAGGTTCGTAGTGCTGGTTATTTTAAACAGATCCTAATAAAACTACATAAATATTATATTATGTAAGTCATGTGGTAGAGATTCGTGGGTAAAAAAATTTAGTTTTAAATTTTGACAGTAACTGATGCTGTATTGCAAAAACCTATGCAAATTAACAGTTCTTCTAATTCTACAACAAAAGATGCAGTAGCCAGCTCAAAGATCACGTGTCAAGGACATGTGACCAATAAAAGATCTGAAAGCTAGCATTATCCACTGTGTCTCCTTCTTGTATATGATGCTGTTATACACCTTCAGCATAATATTGACCAATAAGGTATACGATTGGAGCAGACAGATAATAAAATATTATGTTGTTCTTTAAAATGTGAGCTGTTATTGTAAATTGTTACAGCACCACCCATAAGCAAAATGTGAAATTATTTTTCCGTTTGCAATATTATTTACAAAACATATACTTGAAGATTGAACTGGAACTACGAGTCTCTGAGTACTGATAGTTTAATTTTAACCGTCATGTGTATTCAGTAACTTTGAAAATTAAAGTAAAAAAATTATGTACATTTAGTTGTTCTTTATAAAATCTACTTGTAATGGTTATTTACTAAGTGTTAATCTTTCTTTTCAGTTTTTCTTTAACTCTTGTTGATACACTGGATACTTTAGTGGTAAGTTATTTATTATTGTAGGTATATATAGTAATTTTATTTCTCCTTTGGATTTAAATTTGTTATTGATGTGTATTATATTTTCAGGTGCTAGGTGATTTTGATGAGTTTGAGCGAGCTGTTAAAAAAGTTATCAAAGATGTTTCATTTGATAGTGATGTCATTGTTTCTGTTTTTGAAACTAATATACGCATGTTGGGGTGTGTATGCCTTTTTCTGTCATTTTATTTTTATTTTTGTTAGCATTGTTAAAAATATATTTCTTGGTGTTTAAATCAATTTTTGTTCTTTAATTTAATTTAGTATAGTGTTTTTTATAATTATTTTGTGAGTTAATGGTATTTTATTCATTTGTGGTTTAATGACACAATTCATTCATAACAACTTATTTCATTATTAGAGTCAGAGTTTCTCAAATGAAATGCTTATTTATGAATTTTGTTAAAAGATGACCTTGTATTTTTACAAAGAAAATTTATTCTATCATAATTTTAAGTTCTAAAAAAAAAAAAAATTTTTTTTGTATTGAATAATTGTAAAATAGAAAATTATATACCAATTGAGGTTTAGATTGAAACTAAGAATTGAAATGACACTTCGCTTTGTAACTGGCAAAATTTTTAATTTAAAATGAAAAAAATAATAAGAAATTTTTTGACAAAGCCTTTTTAATTTTTTTTATTAATGAATGAAGCATAAATGTCGGACAAATGAAAAATTTATTTTAAAAAAATGTATTAAATTTGAATATTTGCAAATAGTATATATTTATTTTTTATGAAATATGTTTATTAATTTTTCTTTTGAAAAGTTGAAAAACTATGAAAAGATGGTAGTTTAGTGTAATTGTGAAACAGCTATAATAATGTTACTTGTATATTTTTTATTAATTAAGAATTTTGTTTCCTAGGGGTTTAGTAAGTGGTCATATATTAGCATCCTATACTCAAGATCATCTAAAAAGGATGCCATGGTATCAAGGAGAGCTACTAAATATGGCTAGGGATCTTGGGTACAGACTTCTTCCTGCCTTCAATACAACCACTGGTGTGCCTCACCCTAGGGTGAGTGTTAAATATTCCACTTTCTCCCTTATTATTTTATCTCCTAAAATATATATATTGCAGTGGAATGAATGAATCTGGTTATTATTTACAGTAACTAACAATTATTAATAATAATCAAATCTTTTGCTATATGTGCTTATTATTGCTACATGTGGCATTTATTTTAAAAGTGATGTATCTCCATATTTTTGAAATACAGTAGAGTCCCGATTATCCGAGCCCCGGTTATCCGAGTTTCCGCTTTAACTGAGCTATCAAATATTTCAAGGATATTTTTCTGTTCTAGTTTATTTTTAAAAAAACCGCTGAAAAAAAAATCTGAATTTTATCTTCCAAACACTCAGAAAAACAAAATCCAACAACTTGGTCTGATGAAATTATCGTTAATATCATCAATAATGATAATGAATCTAGCGAAGATGATGAAGACAGTGATTATTAAAATCAACATATAAAAATCTCTCATACAGATGGACTCAAAGCTATCGAATGTACTATTGAATATATAGAACAACAAAAAGAGGCGACACCAGCCTTCCTGTAATCCCTAAAAAAGACGAAACATTACTACAGAAAAGTGCCAAAGTTACGTAGAACGAAAAACGATTAAGGACTTTTTTTAAGTAAAAACTATTTAATTCTCGTAAAGTATGCTTTTTAAATGTTTTGAAGCAAGCTTTTTAATTATAATATGAATTGTATGTGGTATACTCGTATACTTTTTGTATTTCTTAAATATACGTTCTCTTTTTCTTTCCGTTTTTATACTCTTCGCTTTAACCGAGTTTTTCGGTTATCCGAGTTTGTTGCGGTCCCCATTAACTCGGATAATCGGGACTCTACTGTATGTATTTTATACATAATTGTATTTTATTTAGCCATATTTTTCATAATGAAAGGGAAGTATTTCCATTAAAATCCTATAAAAGATGACCTGAGTAAATGTTTGTATTTGTTTTCCTGCGCATAGACTTGCAGGAAAAAAAAACTATTTTAAAATTAATTTATAAGAAATATTTCACATACAATGAAATGACCCATACATACTTTTGATAAATAATGCACAATAAATGGCTATTATTAAAAATCACAAGGAAGGTAATTAATTATTCTATGGCTAATTATTATCAGTATTTTTTTAAAAATTATCCCATTGATAACGCTAGGAAATAAATTTGTTTTCTGCTGCATGACATTTTTGAGTGGATCTTAAATATTTTCGTGTCACTGATTTTAAGTTTAATCGATTTCTATCTACAATAAATTATTTTTACAAATTACAGTTTTTATGCAATCTAATTATATATTCTTAATCAGGATTTTTTAAAATTCACTCAAGTGAATATTAAATGTTCCCACTTCTCTGTTACAAGGCAAGGTAGGAAAATGGCAGTAATATTTTTTAGTTTGTGATATGATCGTTAAGGTCGTTTGTTTTTGTCTTAAGTGTTGTTATCAAACACAGACAAGTGTATGGATATTTATATAAACCTATACATTCTTTATAAACTTGTTCATTCAGACAAAAAATAAACTAAACACAAAATACCATTTTTAAAAAAATCTAACTTTCAAAAGAAAATTAATTTTTGATTTGATGTCCCCACATCTGAATCAGGTAAGATCAAGTACTTGTATAAATGCAACAAATTATTTTTGGAGCAGAACTATTGGCAGGGAACAAAAAAATTCATGGCCAAATCTTAATAAAAATTTTCTATGCTGGCAATAATTTTAATTTCATCTTGTAGATATTTATCCATAATTTGCTATTTAACTAATTAATGTATCTTATTTTTACAACTTAAGTTTGCAAAATAAAGTTATTCATCTTTAAAAATAAATAATAATAAATTCAATTGATGAGAGCTGTTGGTTTTTGATAATCAATCTCTGTAGATTATTTGTAATTATAAAAAGTTTTGTTGCAGAACACTAGATATTATTTTGCTCTGGGATCAAAGACAATATCCAGAGACTATGATAATTTCTCAAAAGTATTATTTTTGAAATGGCTTTTAATATTTTTGCTCTAACAAATATTTTATTTTAGATCAATCTTCGTTATGGTTTGAAATCTCCTAAACTTGGAGTTGTGAGAGAGACATGTACTGCTTGTGCTGGGACTATGATTTTAGAATTTGCTGCTCTAAGTCGTTTGACTGGAGAAACCATTTTTGAAGTAAAGTTCACTTTTTAAAAAATTTTGTTAAATTGCGGGAAATGGTTTTATAAGCATATAATACTCTACCTAATAGCATCTTTTGAATGTTAAAGTAGTCTCCCCCTTCCAACTGTACTCAAATGTCAAAAAAAAAAGGTAGTTAGCAAGTGAAAATTCTAACCTGTTCTGGTTAGTCTAATCTGATGATGATTTTGTTTTCAACAACCTTTATTTTACCCAACCTTTATTAACCCAAGGACCTGGAAGGCAGTATCATAAAATGGAAAACGGTCATCCAATCATAATTTTTTAAATGTAACTTACAGTATTTTAGATTTTCTACTGACTATTTTAGAAAAATTATGTAGATGCAATTCTGAAATCAACTTTTTTTGAAAAGTTACTTAATATTACACTGTTATCTTAGTTTTTTGATAATTATCTTTGCATAATTAATAGCAATAAAAATTTTCAGCCAGTTTAAACAATACAAAAAGTAGCAACAGGAAAAATTTTTAAAATTAGCAGTATTAAATTACATACTACTTAAAATACATCTATCAACAAACCTATAATTTTATTTCTTTGCATGTTTTGAAGTACTAAAAGTTATCAATTATTATTTCTCTTTAATAAAGGAACACCTTTATTTTCAATCTTTTTTTGAAATGTATAATATGGTTGAATAATACTCTATCAAAGTTTTGTCAAGAGAAAAAATCAAATCGCAAAAATTTAACCTAAAATTCAAAATGGTGAGGAAAGAGGCCTCTATAAAACATAACATGACGAGGTCTATTGCAGGGTTAGTGTTAAAATGCCAAGTGTCAAAAGTGGTTTCAACAGCCAAAAACTATAAAAATATGAGTTGAAAGCTTAGAAAATCAAAATGAAAGTAAATATGTGCATTTTCATAACACTTAATTCAAATCACATTTATTAATTATTTAATATAAATTAAATTTGTTAAAAATATTAATTTTATTAAAGTTTTTTTTTTTCTAGTTTAGTTTTGTTCATATAGTCCTAGTGGTTAATTTTTTATCTGAATATTTTATTTAGTATAGTGTGGCTTTCAGGAGAACTCCTCCAGACACCAGTCGCGCGTTGTGGCGGGTACCATGGTCACGAAGAAAAGTCACTTCAAATAGGAGTGTGGTGGGGTGAATAGTTTTGTCTTGATCTTGGCATAGGTCAGTGTGAGTAAACCAATCGACACCTTCATTCCTTCATTTCACCCCCATTAGAAATGTGCTCTCACTTGTTACCATAGCAGCAGACAGCCCCAGACTTTTAGTCTGGTGGAGTTCTCCTCAAAGTAGCACAATAACTAATGTTTATTTAACCGTCCACTACTAAGGACCTCGGAAAAGGAGGAAACTTACCTTCTTTAGGTAAACAATAAAGTGTCCTTCCTTTTCTTTTTTTTTTTCTTCCTTTAGTAAGGCTAACATTGTTTGATCAGCATGCTTGAAGCACAAATTTTTTTGTTTTGTTTGGCATGCTATCCAGATCTGTCACTTATGTTATTAAAACCCTTATTTAATTGAAAACACAGCTGCGGGGAGGGAAAAATAAAAGTTGATTTTATTTATCAGGCATTTTATCTGGAATTACCAGTGAAATAATATTAGTGACATTGCTTCAAGATTTCAAACTGGTAATTAAATATAAGAGTTAATATTATTCTCATAATTGAGGGGAAAATTTCAAGATAGGTACTATGTAATTACAGTGAAACCTCTAGTAAAGACCACCTTTATGTAGTGATCTTCTCTATTTACAACCACTTTTGGGAGGCACAAATTTTTTTCCATGGACTTTGTTTTGAGGAAAACCTATGGGAGAGACCATCAAAATCTCTCCCAGCTACCAAGCAAACCGCTGCACCGAATGCAGATAAGATTAAATTAAGAAACAGGGAAAAATATCAAAACCAAAAATATTAATAAAACTAGTAAGTAGATTAAAATGTATTTAAAATATATGTGTGAGGCTCTTATTTCAAGAGGTCTTTTTGCCCAAATCTGAAAGAGATCTACAACCTCATGTTGCGGTCAGAGTGCACTAAAGATGATGCTATTGTCCACGCCCTCATTGGCGAGATTGTAATGCGCCAAGCGTAGCTTTCTAGCGTTCTTTTCTCATTCAATAAAAAATTACCAAACGTTACAGTCCACTTGACTCTATTAGCTCCGGCTAAAATTTTGAAATTCTTAATATTTTCCGGAAAAGAAAGGTTATTTACCTATATGTAAATGGGTTATAGGACGAATTTCTGAAATTATCACCGGTAAGGATGATAATGTCCGTGTGGTTTTCGTACGCACACCTCATGGAATTTTCAAAAGAAGCATTTCAAATATTGCTGTATTACCAATTGTTAACAATACTTAAATTTATATGTTGAATTCAAAATGTGAAAATATAATTGTATTAATATTGCTTAAATTTGTATTTTGATTGTTGTTATTTTTATGATTATTGAAACATTTAAATGTCAGAATATTTCAATGGGGGCCGGGATGTCCACGCCCTCATTGGCGAGATTGTAATGCGCCAAGCGTAGCTTTCTAGCGTTCTTTTCTCATTCAATAAAAAATTACCAAACGTTACAGTCCACTTGACTCTATTAGCTCCGACAGCTATCAATTATTTATTTTTAGATTTGAAAGTTAAATTAGAAAAAAAATAAGCATCTCAAGCAAAAAAACCTCTTTTCATTTTTTAAATCTAATTTTTATGATATAAAATTAAATACAAACTTAAACAAAAAACATAATTGTTCATTAATTTAAAATCGTTCTATCATTCATAATTGGTAAATTTGTTTTTACGCATAATTATATCGGTAGGGATCAATTTTATTGACGCTTAATTTTATTCAGCGATCCGGTTTTCTTGACACCTATACTAGTGGCATTTCCACACCAAGAAAATGACCCTAACTAAAATTAAAATCGCTTGCGAAAAATTATGGACCTTCAATAGCATTTTGAAGTAAATGGAGGTAACCTCTAAGAAAGACCAACCTCCGTTGATGATCATTTTACTGTGGAACAGAGAGTGATCGCTCCCAACACGTTTCACTGTATAAATTAGTAATGTTTTTTTCAATCAAAAGATTTTAATAATTTATTTTAAATTTCTATTGCTATTATTTTCTTTATTTTAGGAGAAAGCTCGAATTGCCATGGATTACTTGTGGCAACAGCGGCATCGAACTAGCGATTTAATGGGAACTGTGCTCAACATTCATAATGGTGACTGGATTAGACGAGGTATTCTTTTGTAACCATACATCTTTAAAAAAAATGTAAACATTTTGAAGTTTATTTGTTTTTTATGATATATCCTTCTTACAAATAGACAGTGGTGTTGGAGCTGGTATTGATTCATATTATGAGTATTGCTTGAAAGCTTACATTCTTTTGGGCGATGATGTTTACCTTGAACGTTTTAACAAAGTATGTCTCTTTGTATTGCCTCTTTATTTATAAAATATTAAAATTTTTTGCATAGTGAACAAGTTTTTTAGTGTTTTGATTGTTATGTGTTCTAATTCTCAGTGTTCCCATTGTTTTGTGTTCTAATTCTTTGTTTTGATTCAAAAATTGCCAATTTTCTTTTCCTTCATGTTGTTTTTTTCTTTTTCCTTTCTTATTTTTTTCCCACCTGTATTTTTATGGCTCCTAGTCACATCCAAGCGTTCTTGCTTTAAGATTTAAATTTTTTTCTTCATTTTTTTTTTGGCAGAGAAAATGCATATAAATGTTTTCAATGGATTCTGTGCCATTTCAGCTGCATTATTTCTTATTACTTATTGAATCAATGTTTTTTTTTTTAATGGTAGTATTATAGTAAATATGTGGACATCTCTAAATTTATTTTATGTGTGGATTTTTCTCTCAATTTTTAAAATGTTTTCTCAAAAAAATTTTATGGTTACAAAAAGAAATGCATTTCATTAATAAATAATAAAATTATTTTGTTTAATTACATACTTAATGAGAGTTAACACTTTGCATGTTGTACCTTACACTTTTAAAATGTTTCCATTATTTTCCACTATGAAAAAATACAAATTTGAAATTTTCAATGCTTTTTGTACCCATTAAATTACATTATTCTAAAAAAATGTTTTTTAATCAAGGTTTTAAATATATATATATATATATATATTTTGTTTTATGCTAGAAACCAAAGGCTGTTGGTTGATCCCCACATAAAATAATTTATTCATTGATATAATTTTTAGCACTATTCTGCAGTTATGAAGTATGTTAGTCAAGGCCCATTACTTGTTGATGTTCATATGCATAGACCACATACTAATTCAAGGAATTTTATGGATGCCTTACTAGCTTTCTGGCCCGGATTACAAGTTAGTTATTTGCATACACATTTTTTTTAAAATTTCTTTAATTATTATTTATTTATTTTGCAATCAAGGTAAACAAAAAGTTATCTTTAAACAAAACATATTACTTTCAGATTTTTTTCATTGACATGTGTTTGGTATCAACTTACTGTTTGGCAATATTGTTTAGGGTCAAACACCATTTCATGTAATCCTTTTAATAGATTTCTATTTTTCAGATTTAATCATTGTGAGCGTATTGTCACTTTCATTTATCTGTGCATGAATACAATAAATTTCTATACCAAATATTTATTTAAATAACAAATATTTATTTAAATAACAAATATAATTCTAGTAAACTAGTGCACTTACTCATGCACAGATGAGAGTGACCATATGCTCGTAATGATTCGATCGAATCATAGGAATTCAAATAAAAGGGTTACATGTAGGACTGGGCGGTGTAAGAAATTTTATATTGTCATATATCGTCTCTTAGACATCATAATATAGCGATGTATCGGAATTTAACATGTGTTCTAAGGATCCTCGCATGCTAAATCATTATATTGTTAAATCGCAAGCGTCATCTTATATCAGCGGCTTAACTTTAAAAACATTTTTGAAACCAGTCAAATATCTTAATTATGGGAATTCACGACCAGGACATGTTTAAGGTTTGATGAGGGCCTAAGCTACCAAAAGTAATTACTATCCTAGTTTTATCAGCCATTCCCAGGGCTTGCCTTAAGTTAACTCAAACCCATAGCATTCTCTATAACTATTGTTCACTGCTCCCTTTAAAATGTGTAGGTTTTAGTTTTCCGGACAAAAAATTTTTAAATAAATATTTATCTTTACTGCTTAATTAGACTAAGCACATTTGCATTGTAACTAATAATTATAACAAGTAAAGCGCTAATAAATTATAAATATAGCTATAGATAGAAATACCTTTTTTGTGTTGTTTTTAATTTTTACTTTTAAAGTAAGAAATTATAACTTCAATAAAAATTTGGATTTTTATTTATTGAGGATTATATAATGCAAGTTATTTGATACTTTGGGAATGATAATTAGGTTTTAAGATAGCAGTTAAAATATTCTGTATTATTTTGCGAAGCATTATTTGAGAAAAACTGCATCTGTTAAAAAATAAGTATTTCTTGCATTAGTTAATTTTTAGTTTAAAGTGTAAATTGAGGTTTATTGAAAGTTGTTTTTTCACACTGAAGTATCTTAATGTAAAAACTGATTCCTTGTGTTGAGTAGTTTTCAAATTAATGACATATTTTTTTCTTCATCTTTTCATCTCAGTTAATGCTCAAGTAATTAAAAATGTGTAACACTTTAATAAATAACTCATAAATGAAATTTTTATGAAACATTTAAAACCCTATACTTTTTTACTTTTTATTTTAAAATACAGTTAATTTTATTTTTTAAATACTTTTATTCTGCAAATTATGTTTTCCTCAATTTATAAAATATTTATACAATATCAATAATTTAATCTGCTCGTTTATTAAACTATTATATTTCTCTATTTCATTTTTAGGTTCTAAAGGGAGATATAAAGCCAGCCATTGAAACCCATGAAATGTTGTATCAAGTTATGCAGAGGCATAATTTTTTACCAGAGGTAAAAGCAATTAAAACTATGATGAAAATAGCTTAAAAGAAAAAATACAAACCATGATTGGCTTTCAAAATATTGAATGTATACCCACATATTTTAGTAGAGCTATTTAATTAGTGCAGATAATACCTTTAAGTTATGAAATCAGACACAAAAATGCACTTTCTCTGAGTAAACATATCTTTTTGTTTTGATGGATTAAAATGTTTGATCTTCAAGCAGTGAAGTACAACCACAGTCTTAGAAATGAGGTTCTAATTTTTTTTTTGAAAAAAAAGGATGGATTAAAAAAAATATGTTGGGAAAGTGGTCTAAAGTTTAAACTCCTTAATATTAATTTTTCTCTTACATATTATGATTACTTAAGAAATTTGTAAGCAAATGAAAAATTTTCTGAAAAGTATACAATTAATTTATCCAAAAATAGTTTCAATCAAAAAAATCATTTTTTTACAATTATTTATTATTTTTTAAGAAATCCTAAAGTGAATAATATTTTTTATTTCTTTAGCCAACTCTATTTAATTCAAATGGATTTAGATTTTGTCATTTTAAATCTCATCATTTTTGATCATTATTGAATTAAATTTTATTTAATTATAAGCAATTATTTTTTATAGTTTCATTATTGTGCACTGTTTTTTTTATTTTCTTTAACTATTACTGACTAAGGTGTTCAAGTGAGCAATTTTTTTCAAATTGCAAATCTCCCTAACATTTTAATAATTGTATGTTTTGAGCACTGTTAAGAAATTTATTTTACGAAATTACATTTTTTCTACCCTGAACTATAGCCTGCATTTAATAATTGGCCTTTTTAATATTTATCCTTTGTATTAAGGTGTAAAATTAGCATGTGAAAACCTGGTTGTTTTCAAAATTATTCAGGTGTTCCAAGTTTGTTTGTTCTTCCTATTCTACAAAGGAAAATGTGTTAATTTATTTAAAATTCTTATTTCTTTCTATAGGCCTTTACAGTTGACTTTCAAGTTCATTGGGGTCAGCATCCATTGCGTCCTGAATTTGTAGAAAGCACTTATTTCCTATACAAAGTAAACATAATCAGTTTATAATTTTTAGACAACAAAAAGTTTTAAAAAATAAATTTTAATGTGTGAATTTAGTTAAGAACAATTTTAATGACATTCTGCTGTTTGAATTTGTAAATTCTATTTTTAAAATTTTGTAACTATTTGAACGTTTTCTATATGTGAGACTTAAAATTCTAATCAATATTTAACATAAAAGTTTTATTTCAGAAACTTACATTTTGAATTTCTCTCCTTTCTTTTCAATTTTATTTATGCCTTAGATAATTATGTATTCTCATTAAATTTTATTAATTGCCAGAGACTTTAAAAATTTACCTGGGTGCTTTCTTACAGAAAAGGACACTTTGATTTTTGAAAGGGCGCTCACTTACCATCATTAAATTTATTAAAATATGTAATATTTGAATTTGATCCTCAATTTTTAAATTACCCTTTTGTACTATTTTATGTGTAAAATAGTAGAAAAGTAATTCTCACTCACAAAGTAATTCTTACTCATTATTAAAATAACAGAAAAAGTTTAAGCTTTTGAAAAATAATTAAAGGCAAGCTAAAATATAATCTCTGTATAAAATTTCTTCAAAAAAAGAAAACTAAAAGAAAAGGGTTAATTGATAAACAACTTTAATGCTTTTTTATATTTTACTTAAAATTAAGAGAAAATAAACATTAAAATGTATTTATTTAAAAAAAAGTAATGTTGAAATTTAAAACCACTAATAAATTCCCAAAATAAAAGACGTAAATATTACTGGGGCTGAATATCATGCTAACTTTAACTATATAACTAGAACCTAAAAAAATTTTACTAAAATTAAGGCATCAAAATTAAAAATTGAAGTTAAATAATTATCAATAACTAACTTAATCAGACATAGACTTTTCATTAAAACAGACGGTTAAGAAAACCTTTTCCTGAAATAATAAAATAATTTTTTATGGGATGATGGCTTATTTTTACAAAAAGGGCCAGGAAGGTACATTTATAGGAATCAAAAGACAAACAGGGTGGGCGGCCCTTTTAAAAGCGCTTAAGGAGAACACTGTTATTGCACTACCTATCTGTTTAATGGTAAATAAGTAGGAAACAATATGATGCCTAATTGAAGTTCTTAATTTGCATTATGTTGCCCTAAATAACTATAGAGAACCCTGCTATTCTCTATTCCCATTGCTTGGATAATCGGAACTAAATAGTGAACTTTTTGTTGTAATATTGAGTCTCATAAAAGTTATTATTCAAATGAGGAAATTAGAAATTATATAAATATTAATCACAATATATTCTTGAAAATAGATGATTTGTAATTTGTATAAGACATTTATTTGTATTGTGATATGTCAAGCAATTTAATGCTAGAATGTGATCACTTATGGAGAATGTTAGCTCAAACTCGCATTCAAATTCAGCATCGCAATTGTGCTGCTTTCCAACAAGCAATCACCCTACAGTTCAACTTTGGATTTTGATTGTTAGGGTAAAATTGTGAGAACACAGATTGTGATATTTTGAGGAAAGGGATTATTCTGTGCTGTGATGTGTGTAAATATTACAAACGTTGAATCGATCTGGAGTTTGTTACATTTATATCCTCCACCTCAATTTATAAGAAAATGTTGCATAATCATAGTTATAGATTGGTTTAGTGGAATTTTATTTTACAGGGTTTGTCTAAGAGATTAATCCAGTTTCAAGGAACTGTTTATTTACAAGCACTCAACGTACAAAGATAGGTGATACATGAAAAGATACGCATACCCCTTAAATTTATTGCTATGTTCTTAGCATTGGGGTTCATTGAAGTTTAGCATTGGGTTTTTCAAACAAGTTGTGTTGGGAGTATGCAAACTTTTTATTCAGGAATACATTACAATTTTAATGATGGACATTCATAGAAATATGCTAGTGAACATATGTACAAAACTGGTTTATCATTGGAATATGTGCCATGTGACCAAGGGCACAAACATTGAACATCTGTATTACCAGAAACTTGGTAAATGTGCTTATCTGTTCATGTTTTTTTCCCACCCGTTTTTGTCCCTCATATTTTTGTTTATACACATCCTTAGAAATTCAATGAATCATTTAGGCTTACCATGTATTATGAGACGGCAATAAATTTAGCTAAACTATATGCAATCTTTAAATATTGGATGTAAATATTTTTTTGTATTGTTCTTTCAATTAATTCTAATTAACTTGTCTTTCCTAGTGTTTTGTGTTCAGGAGACGCTTTATTTTTAATGCTAGCAATTTTGTATATCATAGGCTACAAATGATCCATACTATTTGGATGTTGGAAAGAAAGTTTTAAATAGTCTTCAGAAATATGCTAGAGTGCCTTGTGGCTTTGCAGCTGTAAAAGATGTCAGGACCGGCAGTCACGAAGATAGGTAATTTTTTCCATTACTCTTTCAATTCCCTCTTTAGATTGAGCAATGCATTTCAAAAGTAGTTTTCAGTGTTTAATATTTTTGAAGAAAATCAAATTAACATAAGTAACTTAAGTAAGAATGCATTATGCTAGGGTGTAGTAAAAGAAAATAATTTTTATATCTAGTTTAATTGTGATCTTGAACTGCCTCTTTTGGACACAGTTGTTCCCCATGACTATCTTTTTTTCTCTCCATTGCTCCATAGTTTTGTCTTCCTTTTTTTACAGCTTTGCGTTTTCTTTTTAATCTGTTCAATCATTCATGTGTCTTTGGAATGACTGTCTTGTTTTGAGGGCACGAAACATGTCAACTTTTTTCCCTTAAATTTTGAAGCAATTGAAGTTTTCCATTTACGAGTAAATCGTCATTGCTCTAAGAAATTTTTACTATTTGACTTTCTGATAATTTTTACAAAAATCTATTGTGGCTATATGTTTGAAAGATGTTTATTTATACATTTAAAGGTAAAAAAAGTTGTAAAATTATTAAAATTTTGAGAAAATATACTTTAAAGTCCTTATCTACTGTTACTTCTGCCGTGACAAAATTATCTTTGATAACTCTTGACATTCCAATGTATGGCGGCAAAAATCAATTTATTAATTTTATCCCTTTTATTATCATATTTACAGTTAATCTAATTGCAGAGTGACTACTCATTCTGGGAACAGGAAAAACCTGGAATTCTCTGAGAATATAACAGTGTAATGGAGAACCCTGAAGTTTTAGAGAAATTTATCCTCAACTTAGTGTGTGTCATATTCCTTTCAATAAAAAAAAAGGATTGGCATTTTAATAAAAACAAAATTTGCTTGGATTTAATTTATATGTTTTTATCACATGTAAATAGATATTGTTAAATTTTTAAATTACTGTTAAAATTATGTGAAATCAAGACAGTTTGCAAAACTTTACTTATTTTACTCTGGAATTCTCAGGGAAATTGGATTTGTCAGTAGAATAGTTATCTTGTAATTATAATTAATTATATAATTTTAATCTATTTGTATTTTCTATGTAAAATTCTGCACATAATACAATTCTTTCTACATATAAACAGTGATATTTCTTTTCTGTGTGACTGTACCAAACTTAAGAATCTAGCATAGTTTTAATATATTAAAGTAACATCCACTTCTACTTTAAAACTCTTTTTCCTTATTAACAGTGATAATTCTTTTTTGTATTACATTGCCTCAAATTTATAAACATCACATTGTTTTCATATGTTAAAATGACATCCACTTTTACTTACCCTCTTAATTATATTTTTTCAGGATGGATTCATTTGTTTTAGCTGAAACCTTGAAGTACCTCTATCTGTTATTTGCAAACAAAGATGAACTAACTTTGGAGGTTGACGATTTTGTGTTTACAACTGAAGCTCATTTGTTACCTCTTAGTCTGGCTAGAATTAGCAATGCAAGTCTTCTTGATGTATGAAATCATTTAACTTTTCTATTTTTAAAACAAATTGCTAACAGCTTCTCAAACATTTATTGTTTCATTATATTTTTAAATCTTAATGTATACCAAAATTAAAATCAGTTTATAACAGAAATTGAAATATTACGTTTATTATAATAATTTAAAAAAAAAAAAAAAAAAAAAAAAAAAAAAAAAAAAAAAANAAAAAAAATTTCACTTTCAAACCTTTAACAATATCTGTGTAAGTTTTTTTTCTCAAATTGTATAAATTTTGAAAATTGCTTGTTGCTACAAATTTCCAAAATTCAATGCAATTTGAGCGATAGATTTATGATGGATTTTTAAAAAAAATTTCTATAAAATTTACATACCACTGTTAAAGCTCAGATACATTGTGGTCAAATTAGTTAAAGTTTTATTTGATCCTCTGGTTTCATGCGGGTTTATTTTAATTTTTCAAAACTAATGAATTATTAAGTTAGAAACAATATTACTAATTAAAAAATCATTAAAAGATTTTTAAAATACTCTTGATAAAAGTTTTTTGTATTATAAATACAATATTAAATCGGTACGCTGTTTTGTAATATATTTATTAATATATGTAACTTATACAGTTCACTATCAGAAAGCCATTAAACAATGGAAATTTTTATGTTATAGTTTCAGACGTAATAAAATGTGCATTTAATTGTCTAATAAGATTTTTTTTTCTTATTAAAAGATGCCTATTTCTTCTTTAGACTGCTAGAAGGCTTTTAATTTAAATAAATTTACATGTTATGTTATAATTATGGTGTACTATAATTATAAGTACCACTCTAATATAAATTTATAAGTATTTTTATAAAATTCTGAAATATATATTTAAGTATCCTTTCTTTCCTACTGTTAACACAAAAAATTACTGATGCATTTCATTTATATTTCAGTCTCCAAAATTAGTGAACATTGATGAGAGTGTCACTGAAGATTTCACCCATAGTTGCCCTAACACTCATTACCTTTTCCCTGAAGGACGAAATTTTGCTCAAACTATCCGCATCCCCCTTAAAAATCTTGTCGAAGAAGTATGTCCATCTACTAAAGCACAGTAAGTTTCTTCTTAGGTACTTCTACTGGTTACTGGCCAAGGCCGTCTCAGTCAGTATACCCTATCTAGATTTCTTTAATGTTATATTGCTCCATATATTAACTCTTTTAACCTCTTATCTGCTGCATCTAGCCATCTTATTCTAGGTCTTCCTCTTTTTCTCTTTCCCTCTGGTTTTTGGAAAGCTATTTTTTTTAACAGAATTTTCATCGCTTTGTTGAAATACATGTCCTAGCCACCTTATTTGAGAAACCTTGATCATTTTTTATTTAAAACAATTGTTGCGACTGTTTCAATTTAAAGTATTTGGCAATTATTTTTAAATGATTATTTTAAGCCTTATATATTGCTTAATTTTCTTGAATATAGTAGTAGTCAAAGAAGTTTGAAATTATATTTAAGAAAAATTTAAATTTCACTGTCTAAATGCATCTGCAACTTTTAATATAAAATAAAAATCTCAAGGCTTAGTTAGAAGTTATGTTTTTATATATTTTATTGATATTGCAGTATTTGCACATTGAACACTACTTCCCCTCCCCCTAACCACCCAGTGTCTGCATTGTAAAAGTTAAATTTTTTTATTATTTTTTTCTTTTTTTATGTCTGAGTTTTACTACATTAGGTTCTTTGTATATTGATTGTAATTCATGATTATAACGAATTCTCTAGAAAATATTGAAAACTAAACAGTAAGTTTAATTTTCAATATTTTGGAGATCATTTTAACTTAAGTTTGCTGATATTTTAGTAACTAGTTTTTTTTGTGAATTGGATTTAATGCTCTTTACTATGACCTTCCTTTACAGCATTCCTTCCATTATAATGACCAATACACTTAGTCCTTTTTGCTAATCCATAGATGGACTCAATGTTATTTCATTAAACACCTATTATAACGTTCAATATGAATTGTTTATTCCATTATAAGAACCGAAGCTTAGCTTCTTTCCCAATAAAGTTGTTTCGAAAACCACCTTTAAAACACAAAAGCTTCCTAACAAGTCAATTGGTAGCAAAAGTTAAAATGAAATGAATGGGAAAAAATTTTCTTATAATGTTGCAGCAATATAAAATGTGAAAAAATGTTTATGAAATGTGGATTGCTTTACATTTTTGACAATCAAAAGTGATTATTAAACATAGTTTTGCTAATATTATCTCTGTATTAATGACACAGTTATGAATAAAAACTTGTATTTTCTGCACTCATAGTACAGCAACCTCATGTTATAACATCAATTTTTGTTTTGTCGATAAGAATTATTAAATTTAATGTCAACTTACTTCAAAAAATTTTGACCTTTAACACTGAACTAAGCCAATGTGTTGTTTTTTAAGTATTTATGAGTTTTATGTATATTTCCACAAAGACTTCCAAAAGTTTAGTTAAAGATGTGTTCTTGATGATAGTAAAACCAGTATCCTAGTAAAACTTAGTACATATTTAATAGTTTTCTGTCAAAATATTGAGTAACTATCTGCTACGCAAAATTGTAATTTACTTTTGAAAAGCGATGTGTATTCTTTATTCAACTTTAAATATTGGAATAAACCAACCAATTCTTATTATTCAGTTATTAATTTCTTTATATTGTTGGAAAAGTGTTAACTCGCTAAATTTTCTATAAGAACTTTTTGTTTATATGTAAATCTTAGCAAAATGAACTATTTTCTGGTTTTGAGAAATAATCGACTGTAATTTCCATTGCTTCAACTTCCTTGAAAAACACGAATCCTTTATGAAAAACAATATTTATTGTTTATTTACAATGATAAATAATTGGTTCACAATGGGCAAACAATTATTAGTACCAATTACTGCCCCATTTAAATTATTTCATAAAGTTTAAATTATGCTATATTTGTTAACCTTATAATTTTAATTTTTTTTTCAATTGTTATCTGCTGTTTTAAAAAACTTTGTTTTGTATTTTACTCACAATCTGTAATATTTTTAATTTCAGCGTTAGAACTTTGCATGCATCTGAATTCCAAGGAAACAATAAAGAACATTTGGAAGCTGTTAGAAAGATGGGTATTACCGTTTTAAAACTAGGAGATGGAAAAATTCAATTAATTCACAATATTTCTATGGTAAATATTATTTTTTTGCATAAATAGTATTAATAATATCCAACTTATATTGGAAAGGTTATTGACCATTAAAAACTTTTGTATCAAAATGGTTTTTTCTTATTTGACATTATTTGCGTACAAATTATTTTAAAGGAATGCCCTCTGATAAATTATTAGGATGCAGTTTTAAATTTTATTTGCGATGATTTAAACATTATACCAATTGTATAATTGCATACAAATGTATTTATTTTAGTATTTGTAGATCGTTCTGCAATTCAATTTAGTTTCCTTAACTTTTAATAATTTCATCTTTATTATATTTCTTTTATTCTTTCTATTCTGCTTTACCAGTTGATCACTTTAAAGAAACCAAAAATATGGGTGCAGGAAAAAAAAATTTCTGACTCTTAATATATTTTTTGAAATCAGTGATATTCAAAGAGCAATTTAAGGTATATTTTGGTTCTTTAAGTACAAAATGTAACGATGTAAACAAATTTTGAATGTAATTAATGGCAATCAATGTACATTACTTTTAGAGATATTTTGCATTGTTTTTGTTTTTGCCCTTCTCCAAACCAACATCTAAATATATTTTCTCGTGCAGTGTCTTTGTAGCCACAGCTAGTGCTACATTTCAGATTACATAACTAACTAAGTTATTCTGTTTTTTTAAGGTTAAACTCATCTGGTCCTCGTTGTCTTATTTGTATCATTAAAAAAAGAGTTAACATTGCTCTATCATTTATTCTTGGTATATATTTTTAGGCTGAATCTTCTGAGAGGGCTCAAGAAGGTATTATGTTCATGCAAGAAATAGTTGGACAAACAACAGGTCTATACCACTTGGGTTCATTGGGTATACCTTTTACATGACAAAAACATTTTTTCTTATTTTTTAATTTTTTGTGCATGATCACTGTGAATTTCTCCCTAGCAGATGATTACCAGACTGTATACTTTCATGACGAAGGAAGTAGTCTAAGAGCGTTGCTGACCGCCTGCCCCGCTAAATTTGGAATTGACCTCAGAGGGAAACCACCTGTAAGTTTCTTAAAATATCAATATCTGTGTTTAATCTTTTAGAATATTTCATTAGCAAGTGTCATGGCTAGATGCAAGTTTTCTTGACAAAATTAATTGTCAGCCCCTTATCTTCAAATACAAAATATCTTAATTTTTACCTAAGGGTCTTTATCTGTTTTTTCATTCATTTTGACTTCTATCAGTGGGATTTAACTAAGTTTGAATGTACGCATCAGTGTAAATTTGCTTTACATTCGCAAAATATGGAGGGCAATTTTTCTTTTATTAAAAAGATTTTTTTTCTAAGTAAAATTGTGGAAAATTACAATAAATTTTGGCAAAAGAATTTTATAGAATGCCAAATTTGACATTTATATGGTTAATTGACTTTTAAGAGAAATAATAAATTTTTACAAAATAATCTTATTTTGCTAAAGAAGTTGAATTGGTAATTATAGTTTGTATATGTTGGAAACTAAATTTATATGTTTGTATATGTTGGAAACCACATTTACCTTGAAATGTAAAAGATATACATTACATAGTAGTGATATTCGGTTAATGGTAAAATGCCTTGACTGAATTGAATTAGAGTGATTTCTAAATAGAAGCTCTTAATTCTTTCAGTTTCTACAGAATTATAAAACTTTCTCAGCTACTCTTTTCAGATCACAACAATTCTCATAGAAAAAAGAAATTAATATAATTCAATTTCAAGTATTCAAATTATTTTTTGCTAAAGATGAAAGTGTCCAGTGATAATTTTATTATTTTCATAATAAAAAATTAAACTAAACATTTAATTTTAGCAAATTTAACCTTAAAAATAGCAATGTCAGGGGTCTGTCCAGGCCAAATTTACTACCTTTTAGCAGTGCTTTCACAAATACTTTACCAGAGCTGATTGCGCTCCGGAAAAAATCCGGATTTTTCGCTAACTGTGATCCGGAAGTTTCCGGAGATCGAAGGTCAAAATGTTAAAAAAATCATTGATCAGAGAAGTTTCCGGAAATCAAATTTTCAAAGGTGGAACTTAAAAACGCAGTTTATTTTATTTGTTTGTAAGGGAGAGCAAGATAGATACTTTATAAGCTTATATTCATGATTAATATTCATTTTTTTTATCTGTAAATAGTTGTTATAATCATGAACTGAAGAAAGAAAGACATATTTGTAAATTTTAATTACTTCTCCAGGTCATCATAGGTATGTGTAAATGGTACAGGTATATAAAAATTTAAATATAGTTAAAGTAAACTAAGAAATATTGAGAAAAAGGAAAAAACCTTGTTTAAATTTTTTTTCAATTTAAACTGTTTTTCTTTTTTCCTTTTTTTTTTTTTTTAACTCAAGTAATTTTCCGGAATTCTGACTTGGGCTCACAATCACCCCTGCTTTACAAATACTTCACAAAATACTTTTATCTCAAAATTTTATTTTTGTATCTTGTAAGAAACGATAAATTCATATTTTTACCATATTTTTGTGTTGATTTTTTAATATAATTTTTAATTTTCTCAAAATAGGTACCTTTCAGAAAAACCTAGACAGACTCCTAAATGTTTAAATTCTGAATTTAAGGGGAATAATTAGATATTGTAGTTTGTCATAGTAGTTAACAGCAAGGTTATTCATATTTCTGGAGATAATCTAAAACCAAAATATAAACAAAAAGTTTTTCCATTTTAGTTGGAAGCTAAACTCCAAATTGCACGCCCTTTAAAAGCTTGCTCACCTATACAGAATGGTGATGAGCTTCAAGGTAAAATTGCCATCATAAAGCGAGGTGACTGCATGTTTGTAGACAAGGTATATATTTTTAATGTTTTTCTTTCTTAAACAATTTTACCAATTATTATGTAGTGAAATCTACATGTTGTGTTAAAACTGAAATGATTGCATATTATTTATTTTAATGTAATATTTCTTCATAGGCACATTATCTTCAGCAGACAGGTGCTGTTGGTGGTATAGTTATTGGTAAGTTCCATTTAACAAACTTATTCACTAGGTGTGTATATGATTTCCTGAGATATTTGGATAATGTGTTATTGTGTTTTCACTTATGAAAAAATTTCTCCAGCTTTTACATTTTATTTTTATTTGAGACTTTAAATAATGTTCCATTCATTTTTATGTTCTACTCATAAAATCTTTGTATCTCATAAAGATCATCATATCATGTTCATGTTATTATATACTCTCTCTCTCTCTCTCTCTCTCTCTCTGAGCCATTTCCAAAGTTTTTATTTAGTAGTTCTATCTCCTATCAATGTTTTGAGGAAATTATTTTGATATCTGTACAAAAGAATTCACATTTCCGTGACTACTTTGTACTTATTTTTCTTCTTTGCAAAGAATTTTTAAGATAGGCAATTTCTGATTTTGTATTTCTCTCTCCCATAACTATCAATGCTATTTTGTTAAACTTAAAGCAAATATCTGTGCAGTTCTTAAAATATCTCTGAAATGGGCACTTCCCAACATTCTTTTTTCGAATTTCTCTCTCCTATTACCCTTATTTTGATGAAGTCAAAGCAGATATCTATGCATTTCTTAAAAGAGCTTTGAAATAGGCACTTCCCAACATTCTTCTTTAGAATTTCTCTCTCCTATTACACTTATTTTGATGAAGTCAAAGCAGATATCTATGCAAAAGTATAAAATATTTTTGTACCACTCTGATGACTATGTTTCTATTTTCTTAAGGATCTCTGAGAGAAGCACTTTTCAAAGTTGGATTTTACTTTTCTCTCTTTCTCATCACTTCTCTTATCATCCTGACCTTTTGGCTATGTTTCTACTTCCAAAAAGATCTCTAAGAGGGGGTACTTTCCTATGTTCCTATCACTTTTACTTTGCTGAAGCCGAAGCAGATATCTGCACAAAAGCGTGAAACATTTCCATTTACAAAAACATAGTGTAGAGCATGACATGTTATAGTCCCCCTCACTGTAAGAAGACTTAATTATGGTACATGTCTAAAAGTTAAAATTATGGCTACAAAAACGAATTTGTTTAAAAAAAAGAGAGAAAAACTTTGCACCAATAAAGAAAAATTCAACACATTGACATCTGTACATCCCAAAAATGGCCGACAATTTAAAAAATTATGTAACAAATAGCAGAATTAGATGAAAATTTACAATTAACTGTGTTCGGCGTAGGAAAGAAACTAGTGTCTAATTGAAAAATTCATAATATCTACCATTACATGTACATAATGACGTTGTCTTAGGTCAAAACTAACATTTCAATTTTAATAGTTTCATGCAATAAAAAACATTATTTTATAATTTTTCCAGTTAGCAGCGCTCCATACTGATGAGCTTGTTTACTAAATTACATGTTAGTAGATTTCTTGATGTTAGTAAATTTCTAGTTTCTTAAACAGAGGGCAGCAAATATATCTTTCTTTTTTTTGTAAATGGGAGGACCCAGGGATTTTAAAAGAAAATCCCTGGATATCTTTTGCATCATCCAATATCTTGCATATCATTTATTTTAACATGAATTTTAAATTTAACTGAAATATATGTAAAAAAAAATATCTTTATATTAAATGAGTATTGTAGGTCAAATGACTCATGACTAATCATCATTCACAAGAAAAAATTTATAGGATCAATAATTCTGATTGAGGTTAAAATAAAAAACATGTGTTTAGGTTTTAAGCATCATTCTAAAAATTTATATTTGTTTGCTTGAATTTCTACAGTTAGATTTTAAGCAATTTTTTTTTCTCTATCTGTAGATAATAATCCTGGTTCCAGTTTAAAGAAGACAAGATTATTTTCAATGGATGGGAATGGAAGGAATGACATAACTATTCCAGTTGTGTTTCTCTTCAGTGAAGAGGCTGCAATCCTTCTAGATGCATTCAAGAAAAACCAAGAGATAATTGTTGGATTAGCTTCTGGTAACTGTAACTTTTATCACTTTTTGTTCTAAAGCTAATGTTATTTTATTTATAGGGAAAAATTAACCATCACCTCCTTCAAAAAGGCAACTAAATCTTAAAAAAAAGGCAAATAAAAAATTGTCTACCAGTTACCACTCTTTTCTGTCAAAAATGCGCCCTGTTGTCATTTTATTATTTTTTTAATAAGTAAGGTATCTTATGAATGTTTTAAAATATTCTGAAAATCGCTTAATTTTATGCTTGTTGCTCCTTCAAATTTTTCTTCATTTTAAAATCAAACCTTTTAATGTTTACTACATTTGAGAAATGTTTTACATTATTGATAGCATCAGTTTTTTTTAATTGTTTACAGTTTTCAATTCTTAAAAAAGTTTTCTGCTGTTAAAAAGCTACAAATGTTGACTGGCCAATAGAGCAACTCCCTTATTTTGCCCTATAGAGGCCTGGAATGTATGCGACCTGAAGAATTGAAGCAACCATCTAATTTTGTATTTTTTAATTAAAAATCTGAATATTTATGTTTAAAATTAGAGACAAATTTTCTTAACAGATTTTTTTCGTAAAATTAGAAACAAATTTTCTTCTTCCCTAACCAGATAATTTTAAAAATCTGCCTTTTTAAGTAAGTCAGATGGAGTCATCATATGCTCTACAATCTTCTTTCAAACTTTGAAAATAAATCTATTCAGAAAATTATACAAATTATTAAGTTTTTTCTATGAATTTAAAAATAAACTGACAATTATTTTGTTGATAATCAAATTTAACAAGCAAAGGGAATATCAATCAGAAAAAAAGAATAACAGTGATAAAGAAGACAAGTTGTTAATTAGTTTTCTAAGCTTTTCAATACAATATTAATAAATTTTTTCAATGCAAAATACCAATACTGTATGACAAAATGACTTAATATAAGTCCCAGCAATCACAGATTAATTTCAAGCTTTGGTTGAGGCGCTAGAATAGAAAATAGAATACAGTAATTGTCAAACTAAATTCTCATCAAAAGTTATCATCAATTTTTCTGGTCCATTCAAATTAAAGACATTAAAAACAAGCATGTTTTTGACGTTTATTTATTTTTTGGTTAAAAATAAATTGAAAATTATAATTGCCTTTATATCCCGGTGTATAAGTCGACATCCTGCTTATGATTATTAAATAGCAAATTTCTGGTATGTAGGGTGTAAAAAAAAAACTTCACATGTAAAGAAAATATGATGAGCGAATCCAATTTTACACAGAGCATTTGATTTTAGGTTTCTCTGAACATTAAGCTATTTGCTTTTTTGCAATAAAACTCAGCTAATGTAATCAGTAAGTAGAATTAATCTTATGTAACTCAGTAAGAAAATTGTGCACAAAAGTGAAAATTCTTTACAATTTAGGGATAAAGTATTATTTTATTACTCTGTTTATATAATCATTTATTGTAAAATAAGGCTCATCTTAGAAGACTTCTTAGACAAAATATCATTTTACAGTAATTTGCATCATTTAATCATTTTACAGTAACTTGTAAGTTATGAAGAAAGTTTCTAACCATAGAAAATCTGAATAAAGAATTTTCTCAAACTTTTACCTCTAAAAAGTAACTAACTACATTCTGGGTATCTTAAAAATGGCCAAGTATTAAGAAATCAGTTAAAGAAAAATGTCAGGAGTGCTAAATGTACAGTTTAATATGTTCCGCTTGAGAAACCAGATACTTTTTCTCCTTGAATTTCAAAATTAGTTACCAAGTTCTTCAATTGATGGCACTGCTAATTGAGAAAATTATATTTCAAAAAAAAAAAAAAAAATTATCAGTTGCAGCAACAACATTGCACAGTCTAATGTTTCTGGTATGGAGCATAAACATTGTTTTATAGTTTTTCCAGTTAGCAGTGCCATCAAACTTTTTCAATTAAATTTAAAACTTGAAGATGAAATTCATGATTGTGGACATTATTGTCAGATGCTATTATTTTTTAAAAAAAAGTTAATTAAGTAGTATAAATTACAAAATTGTTCTTTTCAATAGGGCGTTATGAAGGTGATGTTCTCAATGAAGAAATTGCTAATGAATTCAACGAGGAACCCAAAGAAACCGATGAAGTCACATTTGTGGATCCCAAGTCTTCCACTAAAATGTTTGAAGCAGGAGGTTTTATTCTTGCTCAGCAAAGGGTGCAATCCTTGCTGAGCAAGCTTCACAATCTCAAGCAGTTCAAGGTCGACCTGGATCAACTTGCTAGTCAAATCAATGACGATTTCATCAGTCCAGCCAAAAATGACAATGATGCGTATCAGCAAATAACTCGGGAGACAGACTTCATCGTTGCTTTGGAGCGACTCATGAAAAAGGAGAAAATATTGGAGATAGATCAAGATCTGCAGATCATATTGTCTCGTCTTCGAGAACTGGTCAAAATGCAGACTTTCAACCTCAATGCCAAAGACAGATTGTTTTGTTCAAATGCGGACACCAAGACTCTCAATCCTCTCGTAAACAGAGGTGCTTTTATTGAATTTATGAGTTGTAAATATTGTCCTTTAAGGAACATTAAAAAATTATTCCACAAAGACTCAAAGACTTCAGTGGTGCCTGAAGAGAGTGTTGAAAGTAATGTATATGTTGAGAGAACTGGTAAGCAAGGATTGTCAGACAAAGATTTATGACGACCGTAGGGAAGTTTAAGCTTGTTAAAAGTTTCTATAACATTTGGTTTTTCATTCCCTCCATTTCAGGTTTTTGTTTTTCCATTTTCGCTCAACTCTATTTATTAATGAAAATAATTTCAATTATTCTTTATTTACCGGAATGATGTACAAATCATTGCACACTTGTTTTATCGCACACATGACTAACGATAATTGGAAAAATATGTAATTTAACCCTTTATGCTTTAATATTACTTTATAATACAATTGATTTAAATTGTAAATTAAAAGTTTTTCTGTTTTTATATGATATACAGAGTTAACAATTCCTTGCATAAGGCTCTAGTTTGCTGTGGCAAAAGATCCTTCAGGCCTTATTTTCACTTAAATGAACTGTGGTTTTGATTGAGTTTTTTGTTGGTAAAACTTTCTGTTAAGGTTCCGCTAGTAACCTTCTGCTTAGGATGCAAAAACCTGCTATTCTGGTCTAGTTGTAAGCAAAACTCTAGCAAATATTTTTTACTCATTTACTCGATTGCTATTATAAACAGATCATTTCCTTAATTTGTAACTTACAAATGATTTTTTTTTCTATATTCTAAAGAAAAATTTTAATTAGCTTTGAGAAAGTTAGAATGTTTGAGAATGTTGTTGTCCATCCTAGTAAAAATATGTTTAACTTTTCAAAAATTTCAACAAACAGGTTTACAAATCAGTAAATTCTTATATTTAAAAATTAAAGAACCAATATACATATAAAATTATAAACAAAATCAAAAAAATATATTAAAATTTCCATTGAGTTAATAAATTGGAAAATCACTGCCATATAATTCCACATTTGTTATTGCACAAAATGGCTCGAATACCCCTGAAATAAGTTAAAATTTGTTTTTCAACATTACTAATTTCTAATTCTTCAGTATAAATTTTCTGACAATGTATTAGGATTACTCCTGATAATTCAATTCCATTATTTCACATTTACATGTTGAATTCAAATGTTTTTTATGATCATTTGAAGCATAAAGGGTTAATTTGCATTAGAAATGGAGGCTTTGTCCCTGCAAAATGTGTGTGTTATTTCTTTAAAATATGCTGCTGGGTTATGGTGGGAAAAAATAGTAGATAATAATAAATTTATGTGCCAGTAAAATGATACTTTTATTTAATAAGGGTAATATTATAATGAAATATAACCCTTCTGGATTGTAACTGTGTTAAAGGCTCAAATGCCAGAAGATATTTATGACCTATGAATCTCATGCTAATTATTAGGTTTTAGTTTAATTATATTTATATCAAATTTTGATCTCATGTTAATAAACCTATGTTATTTTAATAGAATTTCAAATACATTTGTATTATCTAGTCTTTCAAATTCTGCCTCATTTTCTGCTTGCATTTGTATAATATCAATACAGTTTATATTTTTTTGTCGTAATAGTCACTACTTTTATAGGAATGTTACGTTTTTAAATAATTTTTGCCAGTTCTCTTATTTATTTTTTAAATTTAATTATTAAAATTACTTTAACAATTTTTAAAAAAACTTATGAATTTAAATTTTGCTAGTAAATTTTTTTGTGTAAAATGGACTAAAATAAACAAAAGAAAAAAATATTAAACTACAAATATTTAAATTTCTTTTGCAATAAGGGGCCGTTCAAAAAGTACGTACATCTCGAAGGGGGGGAATTTGCTATTTTGTACGGTTTTGTACGATGGGGGGGGGGAGGTATTATACAAAGTACGTACATTATAAGCATACACCAAATTAAATTTTTTCCTACACTCTCCTTAAAAAAATATTTAATTTTATTTAAAACATAATTATTTTAATTTTTATGAGAAAGGGGGCTAGACTAATAAAATGTACATACTCTAAGGGACCTTATGTACGAAAGGGGGGTTAAAATTTCTCCATTTTTATGTATGTACTTTTTGAACGGCCCCTAAATACTTTAAAAACACAAACTAGATATTTGCATGTCGAAAGAGCAATATGAATTTTGATTACTTTAATTCCATCATTTCTTTTTCAAAAATCTGCTTATTATTTTATGTTAAAACTCTTAATCATTGATGCATAAGTATTATTTAATTCAAAACTCATTGAATTGAATTTGTTTGAAAAGCAAAGTTTCAGCTTAATCTTTTGCTGATACATTCTTTGCTAATTTCAAAGTTATGACTATGTTATTATTCTTTACACCTCTTTTTCTGACTATCCATGACAAGTTTTTGTTCTATGTTTTCACATTGAACTGAATTATATTTATACACACAGTTAACTCCTGAGTATTCATAAGCAAATTACCTGCTGCCTAGTTCTAAAACTTAAATCTTTTGTGTGATTGCTACAGTCAATGCAGTTTTGGTAAAATATTATAGTGCTTCTTGCCTAATAAAATTGTGTTAATTTCATAAGAATTTTCTGTTTTAACCATATTTTGATAATATATCATACTTTTTCTATATATATTTAGGGGTGAAAAATTATCTTTGATCAATGAAAAAATTTTGTTATACAATTAAAGTAGAGTTTTGAATTGCAATTAAATATATAAACAAATTACATTTTTCGACCAATTAGTCAGGCAAAATTCACTGTAATTGCCATTGCCACAATACTGTGGATAATTTGCAGTTATATATAAATTATTCTTTCAAATTTTTAGTTACTGTTTATTTAATTTTTTTGCTTGATTTGAGCTTTTTAAAATATATATTTCATTATTTTATATATTCTCAATAATACTTTTACTGCAAGTTAGTATTATTTTAGTTTCTGCTTTTTAAACCATTATAGAAGAAACTATTGAATATATATATATATATTGAGTAAAATAAAATAATTTTTATTTTTAAGTGTGAGTTATTTAATTATTAGCTTTATAAATATGCATGTTTGCATGCATTTTTATAGTATGACCTAAAAAGGGTTTTTATCTAGTAATTATTTATACTTCTAAAGTCCACTGTAATTTTTTTTTTTACAAATTGTTAGTTATTATTATTGCTTGTGTTGTTTATTATTATTACTATATTTCTAGGTATATATATTATTATTTCTATAACTATTATGCATGTGGGACTTTTAAATTTCATATTAAGTATTATATTAATAGAACCGTTCTCTAAAGCAGACGCTATGTTCTTCCAATTTTTTTTAAAATTGAAAGTATAATTGTAATGTTTCTCCTTTTCATGTATTCCTTTATCCTATGGTGTGCATTTTTATAAAGACATTTTTAAAAAAGGTAAACATAATTTTGTATGTAAAAGTAATTGAGTTGATTTAATTTTGTAATTAAGAGTTTAGTAGTTATATTTTAATAATTTGAATAGTACAGACATAATATAATAAAAATATTATACAATAAAAGGATCATTGAAAAATTGAAGCAAAAAAAAAATGAAAACTTATTTTGAATTTGAATGAATACTTAACTATTCCTTATAATTTTAATTTCTCTATTTTACTAGGAAAAATAATAATTCTGAGCAAAATGTTTTGTGAAAATTTTTCTATAAAAAAAAAATTAGAATATTTGTTGAGTCAAATAATTATAATAAACAAAAATGCAGAGGAAAAAGTTCTTTCTTTTTACCCAGATTAAAGCTCTTGGAAAAAAGATATTTGATATTAGAAATATATTTTAACTTCGAGTAAACTCCTGTTTCTTAGTCTTCCAGAAGAATTATCCTATTTGCTTCTAAATATATACTTTTAATATATAAGAATAATATTCTAATATATAATATAAGAGGGGAAAAAATAATACTTATACAAAAATATTTAAGTTTGGCAGCATTCCATTATTTTTGTTTCAACTTTTTCAGTATATAAATATTTTTATTTATTTATTTTTTCACTATATATTGGCTATTTGGTAAAATCCGTCTTCTTTGTATTACATTGGTGTAAGTAACATATTTATTATTATTTTTTTTTTGTCCCATTAGTTATTTAATTTTAGTTTTGTAAAAGCAACTAAATAAGTATTACTTTAAAAAAAAAAAGTAATAATAGCATTATATCTTTAATTCACTAAGAGAATCCTTGTTCATGAAACCATTGTTAAAGTATAAAATGGCATGTTAAAAATTTTTTTTACTGTACTTTTAATCCCTATTACTTCTATGTTAGAAGTAAAACGGATTTTTTTATCTTGCTTAAAATTAAAATTCCTTTTGATTTAGAGACAGAAAGGAATAAGTCAGGCTTAAATATTATCTCACCTATTTAAGTGCCAATCACCCAGGGTCTGAAACTTCCGTAAATGACTTTTGTTATGGATTACTTTTTCAATCTGGATCTCTTAGTTTGAAAACAACTCAAAGTGTTTTTGACAATTTTACAAATTAACTGTCTATTTACCTTCTTTTTAACACCATGTCATTCTACCTTGGGCAAGAATAAGAATAAATAAATATTTCTTATTCAAACACATTATGTTAGAGTGTGGAAAAAATATAGGTCAATTAGTAATTTGGTGAAAGGCACATGCCACTGTGTTGGTTTTCAATGTAAAGAAAGAGAAGGATTTAACCTTTAACTCCCATAATAAACTTTTCCTAGGTTAATTGTTTTTTTTTTTTGAACGCCTCTTTATCATTTAAATAAATACAAACTAGAATTAAAAATTTTAATATTTACTGCTTATAATCTGTTTTATTTCCTTAAAATATATATTTTATTGATCCTTATTTTGCAAAAATAATGAAAATTTTTCCTAGTGTCAAAAACAAAAATAACATTAATATAGTTAGTTGAGTATTAATTGATTTTTATACATGATTGCAAAACATATTTAAGACTCATCTGTATTATTTTGAACAAGAGGGAATTTTATGATAAGAAGGGTATGGGTTAATAATATTTTATTGTGTTGTCTTATTATTTGTTATTTATTTTATGTTGGTTTACTTGGTAAAAAAAAACATGGTGCTTTGTTTTTCTTACTTAGGTGTGTTGAAAAACGTGACATTTAATTCCACTTATTTCATAATCTGTGAGTTGTTGTTTTACAATTCTTTACTTACGAAATGTTTGGCTTTATTACATTTGTGTGCCAGATTTCGTAATATTTGAATTGTAGGAGGAGAAAAATTAAGAACTATGTAGTTAAATAGTTGTGATTAAATTATCTTAAATTGCTCAACCTTGTGTGTTTATATAAAGAGATTTAAATTATGCATCCTGCCATGTGACTTTGCAAAAGTGTAGGAGGAGGCAAGAAATAAGATTGTTGTGCAATGTTATTGTTCAATGTGTGTGTCTATTTGCAATTGTTGAAACATGGTTTTTCAAGAGAATACTTTCTTGATGAAAAATGTAAAAATATAGTGGAAATTTTTTTTATATTTATATTTGATGAATTAATTTAAGGTTAATTTTGTTTTTATACCTTATTTACATTAGTATGCAGTGCAGTGATGTATACCAATGATATAATGGTTTAATTGGGGGGAAAAATTTAGTTAATGAGGTAAATTTTTTTAATGAAGGAAATAAATTATATTTAGTAATTAGTTTGTTTTTTGATAACATATGCAATTTATTATAAGTTAATTGAAAAATTTTGGCATTAATCAAGGGAGAAAAAAAAAGTTTTTTTAATTTGATATTTAAAAGCTATATTTTCTTGATTTCCAGTAAATTTATCTACATAATGAAGTTAACTTTTCATTTATTTATGCAATGAAATTATAATAAGTTACAATCTTTTTTAAATAAAGCTGGTCATCTGGAATTTCTTAGTAAAAATTGTTAATGCTTTCTCTTCATTTAGTAGTCCAGAAATACACACAAATATTTACATTAATTTATTGCATTTAGTCAATTTGTTTGAAATATTTCTTAAGTTTCAAACTGTTAAGTGTTATTTATGAAGCCATAGTATGTGTGAGAGAAATGTTATAAGACTGTAAATAAAAATTAATTTGTAATAAAATTTAATAAATCTACATATCAACTCTGTTGTAATGTTAATATTTAAACCATAGATCTTTTTCACTGTGTTGTATCATTTATGAACTACCTTGTCCACAAGTACTAAGTGTATTTTACAAATTGGAACTACTAACATTACTTTTATAAACTTCTTTAATCAGTTAACATGACTTAAAATATGTATTTCTTATTTTCATTATTCCTGTAAATTAGAGAATATCTTATAGTCAACAAACAAGAGCCACAGAGAGACCTAAAAGTTTTCGTGAAACAATCCCATTTCATAATAAAAGATGTTTTTAAAATTGAATTAAGAGAAAAGATAGTTATGTTATATTATCTGTTTTTGTTGATTTTATAACATAAGCCTGACCGTTATCAACTTTTCAAAACTTTTAAGCAATTTGTCATGTTATATCAGTTAGTACAAATGAGTCATGTGTAGAAATATCAATACCCGACCTTTTGCATGCTATTATTGCGAAGGGTCTCTGGAAAGGATAATTTATGTAAATGTATGTTTATGCAACTGTGCTTTTTAATTTTTTAACTGCTTATTCTGCTTGTGCCACTTAGAATTCATCCACTGATGGCGGTCGGTCTTAAATGTACTGGATTACAGGGTTATTACGAGTATGCAGTGTGCAAAATAGTAATCCAGATGTTGAGACATTATTTACAATCAATTGTAAGTGCTTGGTGTCAGAATAAGGTAAGTCCATATTTTCCAATTTTTTTTAATGTGTTTTTGATTGCGGACAACATGGCTGTTAATATTAGAACAAAAAATGGACATAAATATCAAACAAACTCAGTCCTCTATTTGTGGTGTAGTAAATAGTGTAAACTAGAGATATACCAAGTACCCAACCATATATTCTTTCCCTGGTGTTGGTTAAAAAAATATTTAAATACCAGATCCGGTTTTTTGTCTCAAGACCAGGTACCGGGTACCCAGACTTGGCCAATTTTACCGAGTATCCAATGTCACGTAAAACATTACCCCCTTCCTTCTTGCTCCTGTCAAAATGACAGGCTGAAGTTTCTCGTGCCCATGGTATTTCCAGGTTGGACTGTATTTATGACTGATTATCTAATTTTATGCCCTTAACCATGTTTATTTCTCAATCTATACACCAGATGGCAGTACCATACTATAATGTGCAAACATATAAGCTAAAAACTAATCAAAAAATTAAAATTAAATATCAAAAATAAATCGAATGTCTCAAAAAGTGTAAGAGATTGTACTTAAGTATCCCTCAGTTAAGATCTAAGTAAGAAAAGTTTAATAGTTATCAGATGATTAAAATTTAAACCATGGTAGTTAAAATATTTTCCATTTAATAAACCGTCATTTTATTGCAATATTTAAAAACTTTTGAATAAATGCTATTGAAAATATGAGTAAATCAATTGAAACTTAATTATAAGTCCGCTATCAGCAGATGTCTTCTCTTCATAACAGTTTTACATTTAATCATTCTACATTCGAAAAGTCACACAAAATTTCTTTTAGAAACTTTTTTTTAAAGATTTAATTGGAAAAAAAAAACTGAAAATGAAAACACTTTTCTCTTTCTTTTTGTCAAGGTGTGCAATGAATTTTTTTTAAACTATATCTTGTAAAAAATTTATTCAATAGAAAATAAAAAAAAAATTTAGTTTTTTTTTTTTGTATAAATGATACGCGACCGGGTAATAAATCTAAATTTAACCCTGAACCACCTGCACAGTAGAGTATTTAATTTTCACAAGGTACCTGTCAAAATTTTAGACAACTATACCGATGTTTGCTATATAATTTTATCTGGCACTCACCAAGTAGATGTAACTCTGGGCTTAACCTTCATGCACCAAGCCAATCAATGAAAGCTTACCTCAAACTTAATGACAATGCCTCTTGAACACCTTTAATTTTTAAAATACAGAATCCTGAGGTGCCTTCTGGACCTTTCCTCTTCTTTTTTATCATATTGCATAGTTAGTATTGATTTTGTTACCTATACCGTGACATATTAAGAAAGGTAGAGTAGCATTTTCCCAAAGGCGTAAATATATTTCCATGCAAAAATGCACATTACATTTGTATATTGTTGAATACATTTTTATTTACTTTAGTTCAATCTTTGAAATTTCAGTACAATAAAAATTTCTTTAAAATGCAATAAAATTTCAGTAAATTCAATATATTTAATTTAGTGCTATGAATACTATAGTGCATACATTTAGTACATAATGATCTTATCATTTTTAAAAAGATTTTTCCACATCTTCTAGAAGTCGATAATGATGGATCGTTCGTATCTGTGGGTATAAAATGTTTGTCGCAGAAATGGCTTATCACGAAGCAGAAACATAGCTTCAAGGCCGGACTCGGGTTTTACGAGCTCAGGGACGTAATGCATTTTAAGCCTGATGGGAAAAGTCTTTTCTAAAAAAATAACTATGGAAAAAATTACGAATTATGTAAGGAATTTCAACTGGGCTCTCACCAATCGTCTCGTCCTTCCCTAAACTAAACTTTCATTAGTGCACATGATTAACATATTTATGCATATTTTAGTTTCAATTTGTTCTGTACATTCTTTTATAACTTATTCCTGGCATCAACTATGACTTATATTTTAAAAAATAAATAAGCAAAGACAACAGACACATATATAACCGAATTAATCTTTATTTACTAAAGGGCATTAAAAGTGACGGATTAAAAACATTATGCAAAATTCTAAGCCGAGTTTTGACTCAGACAAAAGGCTATTAATAAGATCACAAATACTCAACATAATTAAACAAAAGCAAATGCACAGAAGAGAAAAATCTTTTCACGCTATTTACCTAGTTAACTAAACTTCGTTTTGGAATCTTCTAACATTATAGTTTTGTAATATCACAGATATTGGGGAAAGTTCCATCAATTGCTCAACTGTAATAAATATGCATGATAGAACATGAATCTGTAAAGAAAATGACTAAAATATACGGAATTACAATTCACTGTTCATACCCTGAATTTAAGGACATTTAAGTTGATAAAAAGAATTTTTTTATTATGTAATATGAGATAGTTTATTTTCATAACAAAATTTTAGGTTTTTCTTAAAAATATATATATAGAAGTTAAATAAAATATTTAAATAAATTGCTTAGTTTTGAAATAAAAATAACTTTTTTCACAAATTAATGCTAACCTAGTAGGGAATTTAGCATTGCAATTAGAGTGCCGATGTAGATAGGCATGAAAAAATAAATGACAGTATCTGAAAATTTTTCAAAAACAACACATTGAAGTTAATAATCTTTTTAATTTTTATAAAACACTTAAATATCATTTATTAAATGTCTTTTTTGTGAATAAATCTTTTAATTCAATAAAACTGCAATTGGAAAAACTAAATTTTGTTTCGACTAGTTGGCAAACGAAAATTAAAAAAAAAGAGGCAACATTTTCCCCTAATATTTGAACAAAAGATGGCATTAAAAACTTAAGATATTTAGACACAAAAACAATAGAGTTTCAAAACTTGTATTGTTAAAAGATTCGAGATAAAAGTAAAACTACATCTGATTCAGGGATAAGGACTTTTCAAATAAAAATTATAAAGTACATTGGGAATCTGAACTACAAATCATTTTAAGATTTTTACACCATTTTTATTATATATATTTATATGGTATATCACACAAAGCTAATTCTTTATGTTTTTGCTCTTCTGTGCATTCAAACAAACTAATGCAATGAAAAGTAAAAATTAGAATATATATTAGTATGTACTAGTTTTTTTTATACAAATTCCAGAAACAAAAATTACAAATTTTAAGACTTATACATCAGAAATATATATACATAACACAGTTATAAAGGGGTCTGTTAATCACAGTAGTTTTACAAGAGTAATTCGTTTCGAATAGATTTTAAATAAATTTTTATTTTTAATTGTCTTTTTTTTTTCATCAAACAATTTAGCGAGAGATCAAGCTAATTCTGCAATACATTTTTACTTAACAATATTGCATTTCATGACAGTGAAAATACAGCAGTGACTTGTGCAAGTATATAATTAAATAAAAATATGTATAAGAAATATTTATTACTATAAAACATGGTAAAGGACTTTTAAGATTATTTCCTGAATGATTGTATTTTAACATTGACAAAATAAGTTAGTATATTGATTTAAGTAGAAAAAAAATTTATCTCTTCAGTCCTGAAGTTTTAACATGTGCTTGTTGCGCTTGCAGCTGCTTGTTTTTATATTTTATTCAAAGATTCTACCCTGGATGGACTATTATACTAGTTGTGCTCTATTTTATTTTACTATACGCTCATAATGCTTTTTATATTATACGCTTGTACGCTGAATATATGTGCTAGTGATATAAGCAATAAATCTAAATTATTTGTAAAAGATTCTAAAATGTTAATTTATTCTTATGTGTCTATTTTTAGTGTAAAAAATATACATTAGCCATAAAAAATTATTGCCAAAAGAAAAATTCAGGATTGAAGAGATAAAATTCACGTGACTTAAAATTTTGATTTTTAATAAAAATAAGTAAAATTAATGTAGCACAGTTTTAGAATGATTAAAGTTAAACAAAATTAGTTTCTAAAATAAATAATACATAATAATAATTGCAACTCAAACATACAAATGCACACAGATTTTCTGGATATTATTTCGTTGGAAGTTCTCATCCGTTTTTCTTTCCTACTAAACCTTGACTTGACATTGTAAGTTCTCAATTCCACCTGAATCCAGCAGGTAAACATAGCGTGTTTTCTAAATTTAGATTTTAATAATGTAACCTTAACCTAACTCTTTCAATTTTGAGAAGTTTATATACATTATTGATTTATTTTTGTTAAATGGCAGTTAATTAAATTAGATGACATCATTTAAATTAATTCACATTAATTAATGGAAGCACTTAATAATAATGAAACTATATGCAAATAGGATTCTGTAATTATCATTATTAATAAAGATTAATAATGAATGGTTAAAATTGCAGAGTCAAGTGATTATGACAAAAAGTTAATAATAATAATTTGTATATAAATTATTTAATTTGTAAAAAAAATTATAAATGGAAAAATTATTTAAAAAAAAGAAAATTTTAATTAAAACATTGCAATGGTCATTTAGATTTTCCGGACAATAAATTGAATTTTGAATAGCACTTTACAAATTATGTATTTGAAATTATATATTTATAAGTAGGCACCAATAGTTTTCAAATAGTTAAAAAAAACTCATTTGAATGTTCAATGTTTATCACAATAAAAATTAATTTGAAGAGGAAAACTATTTGGAAGAATAACTTTTTACAATTTGTTTAAAGTAACATTTTGTACATTTCTAAAAACAATTTCAGGAAGCCTATTAGTATGAAATTAAAGATACTTATAGCAGTAATTTAGCATCAATGTAGTTTTTTTATATTACAAATATTTACAACAACAACAGAAACTGAGAATAAAATAACGTCATTAAAACAAGATTAATTTAGTTACAAATTAAAGGGCGGGGAACCAACAACTGCATATGGCAACAAAAATATATAGTACGAATTTCCAATTTATTTTTCCCTATATTAAAACATTAGAAATAATACTGCGTAAAACAACCACATAATTTTTCCACACACACTTTTAAAAACATTCATCCTTCGTGCCTAACATTTTTCTTATTTCACAATCAGCAGGGATACCAACTCAAAGATTAAAAACAAATATACTTTCTACACTGCAAGAGAATCATGGAATGAAATCAATTGAAACTTATTTTCAATTGCTCAAGAGCACAAATTAACTAATTGCACAGTAAAAAAAAAATAAATTAGAGTTTCTAAAGATTACATAATATAAACACATAAGTATCACTTTGTTAAGACAGTTACAGATTTGTAAGTAACTCTGATGTTTAAAGATTGAAAAATGCTTCAAAGAGCTGTTATGCTGATCAGATAAATTTCACAAAAAAAAAGAGGATATTTTTGTAAGATTGGATTCATTTTTGATCAAAATGTGCATCAAGAAATGCAAGCATATGGCCATAATTTATAAATATTAGATTAAAATTATTATTCATTATATAAGAATGACTTCAGAAATCTTATAACGACATTCATCTGGAAGATTTTCAATTAATGTCAGCAAAGAAAAATCTGTCATGGCTGGCATCCCTGCTCCAAACTGTCTTCATTTCCCTTATAAACACTCATCTCACATTGCAATAACTTTTTACCTTATTTCGACCACTCAAAAATAATAGAGGGGGACAGAAACAAAATATTACGTATACAATTGGTGAAGAACTAGACTAATTGAATGAACAGCAGAAATATAAGCGTGAAAGAGGGGATCTGTTCTCACAAGCTATATATTATAAAATATGGAATTAATGCTGGATCAACAGCGAAGGAGTGATTCGATGATGAAACTTCCTTCTATGAAGACTTCTACCGGATGTGCCAGTTAATTTAATTATTTTTATCAACTAGAAGCAGCACATCTGGATGTAAAAGGACAACAAATCCCACATTTAGGACACAAATACCAGCTTGGCTTCTTCAGTAAAACACACACATTAGAGACGATAAACACACTTGTCCAACTGTTTCTAGTTGGAAGCTGTTGTTTTTTTTTTCTTCCTTCCACAGCGTAAGAGATTGGGTACCTCTCCCTCTCAAGTTCTCACTTTTTTTTAATTTTATTTGCATAAATAATCCAAATAGTTTTTTTATATTTCCTCAAGCGAACAAACATATACATATAATTGATTTCTTCCTAAATGGCACTGTGATTCACTGGTGACTATTTTCGTGGAGTCACAATGAACGCAGGGCGGCGATCCTAGGCAAGAAGGTGACTAGAAGTACAGCAAAGGTTATTAGGGCACTGTTAGTGGGCGAGGAAAAGATGGCACTGTTATCTTTCACTTTGATATTTACATCTCTGTTGTCTCCGCTGTCGAAATTGAAATCGCTGGGCTTTGTCCCTAAAATGAAAAAGTAGTATTGAATAAACTTACAAATAATGAAATCTGAAATAAATATGAGAGCTGTAGGATATTAACATTTTAATTTTAAAAAAAAAATTATATTCATCAACAATGAAATACTTGAACAGCATAGTGGAAGAACAAGTTAAGTAATCGTGGTAAATATAACACTAAAGCATTAGAATATAATACATTAAAAATATTAAAGCTGGTTATGATCAGGAAGCTGTTTAAAAAGGACTTCTTCCACAGAAAACTTGGTAGCATAACTATAGTTGCATAATCGATGGCACAGAACTGTCATTGTGTAGGACCCTGAAAGATGTTGGCTACCCTTAAGATACCCTTTACCAGTGGGTACCAGTTTACAATTTAGTACCAGTAAGCTGCTAATAAAAAGAGTTTTTCAATTTAAACTTAGTAGAGAATAACTTTTGTCCACAGCAGAGCTGTTATTGTGTAGGACTACGACAGCAGTTTGAGGCCTACCCATAAGATCAATGGGTACTTTTTTACAATACAGTACCAGTAAGCTGTTTACTAAAAAAAAAAAAATCCTCGAAAAATTTTCGAAGTTTTAGATCTGATAATCTAACTATAGTTACAGCAGAGATGGAACAGTGGGTATGACTCTGAGTTGTCATTGTGTAGGACCGGGTTTTATCCCTGAAAGCGGTTTGAAGCCTACACAGCTTATGATCGCTGAGATATAGTTTGTTTTATTCTATGAGAGAGAAAAATGAAATGCTGTGATATGTGAGATTAGACTCAATGAGTCCTTCTTAAGAGAACGCTATACTAACACCAAGGAAGGAATTTTCTTTCACATAGGTGGAATAATTTCTTGGCGAATTCTCTTCATATACACATTATTTAAAATGTAGAAAAAATGGGTTCAGTAAACGTAGAATAAATCATAAGGTTTCAAATGCTGAAAAAAATTGTTTTTTCCTTCAAAATGTTCAGAAATTATGGAACGATTAAGGATTACACAGTGGAGAAGTTATCCTGCAATAATTTGTTTGCATTTTGATATTTTGAAAACACCTTTTCAGCATCTGGAATGTCATGATAACTCAATGTCAATATGCAGCCTAATTTTTTTTAAAAAAACGCACTGTATACCTGAACTTACTTTTTTTAAAACTCTTAAAATATCAGACTGAAGTGAAAAAGGATTCGCCATCGAAAGTTCTGCTATACAGCGCATTCTTACGCACTTTGACAACCAGAAAAGGATATTCAATTTTCATAAGTGTATGGCTAGAATTAATGTCTCAACGTTTACGAAGATGTGGAGGTTATGCCAAAATTTAAATTAATAAAATTACCTATCGAACTGTCAACTGGTGAGTTATAAACAGGCGTACACCTGTATCGACCGTTACTCCGTAAAAATAAAATACACGTAATATCGTAAATAATTATAAAAACAGAACCTTCTTGAATGTAAAACATATATTTCCTTCAGTGATTAAATTCTAATGCATCAAATTCTAAGATCAGTTTTCAATTGAATTTAAACTGCGCCATTCTGTATCGATTATTAAATTTGATCTTCGGTTTCGGGCGAAAACGCATCTAATCGGAAAACACATCGCCAAGTACAAGGATACGATAAGATCATACACGCTTTTATTTAAATGAGGAGCAACACGCCAAGCATATTTTATAAGTCGGAAAAAAAAAAAGAATAAACCTTAAGTCATATGAATGCAACGCAGCAGAAAAACAACCTAAGACGGTGTTCAAAATATTAAATTTTCCCTATGTCTAGCGAAGCCAAGAGATTTTTCGTTTTAAGTGTGATGTTGACGAGTTCAATGCATTTCTACAAAACCCGTTTTCACAAATATGCAGACAACAGTTTTTTTTTAAATATTTTTTTCTGACGGTCGGCAAAGGAAAAATAATGAATAATTCGACAGTTAAATATCTCTTGGATTTATGAAAATAAAATCAGACAACGTAAGCCACAGGGAAAACTAGTTACAAGGCCAACAGACTACTACAAATCACAAAAACCCTCAGTTTGCTAACTCCTCAAATAAATTATATAAATAGGTTGCAACGGACATAAATTACAGTTAATTAACATTTATTTATTGCGGTTTTCGAGAAAAATACGTTTAAGTTTAATGTCGGATACAAAAATTTATATAGAAATCAAAGAAAAAGAATTTCATACATCAACGTTATTTCGAAATGTTAGCTCAAATGAAATTAAAAGTGGGGCTTAAAAAAAACGCGGATAAATAAAGATTATATCAAATTATGCTATGTATGAGATTTATTTTTCTTTTTAATTACAAAAACCTTGAAATCTAAAATAGGTCGTATAACATGAATACTAAATTATTACTTAAAAAAAGAGAAGACTTCTATGCATTCTTAATTGTTATTTTGTTATTCAATATAGTAGACTTATCAGATTTTTCTTTCTGAATCCCTATTAGTAACCAAAGGAGAAACAAACATAAACATTTCGTCACGATTTTCATAAATCATGGTCGCAAACACTTTCCATAATAATTATTTCTAACCAATTATTTATTTTAATTTTATCACTATTATGTATAAATTCACATAATTTAAAAAAAAAAAAGTTTATCCATTAGATATCTCGATTTTACTTTCTCAAAACGCTGGTATTTTGACAAAAAGTTTTGAAACAATTTCTAGGCGATTTTTCGCTTTTAAATATAGCTGAATTATATTTTTTTGATATAGCTGAAATGTTGTTACGTAGGTATGAATTATTTCTATAGCATAATTCAAAATGTTTGTCCCAGGCAATAGAAATATCAAAGTAGGTTGCTTTCCTTGTAATCAACGAGCATGCATCGTTGGAGGGTATTTGTCCCTCTCAATAATTTGAAATCGCTGAAAGTTCCCCTCAATATTTCAGACAAATGAAGAAACTTTTCAAAATTATTCTTCTTGCAGATATTTAGCAAATATAAGAATTTTTTTTCCTTCTTATGTGTGAAACTTAGAGGACATAATGACTGTCTCACTGTATATTTTAATTTCGTCCCTCTTAAAAATTGAATACTTGCTTCCAATTATTCTTAAAAAATTTTTCTCTTTTTTTTTGCAAGCATGTTATGGGAAGGAAGGAAAAAAAAAAAAGAGTCATCTCTTATTTCTGATGACACTAAAAATGTATCAGCGTATCAGTACACTAAAATTGATACATCAGGTATATCAGTACTCTGCTTACCTATACGCTATCATCTTCATCTTAATTTTTTTTCTTTTTTTTTTAAATATTCATTTACGACAAAATACTTAAATAAGTTTATTTAGCATGCGATTTTCAACGCTGCTAAAGATTGACAAAACTTAAGTCATTACTGTTGTAATAATGTAACTGTTGTAAGTTGTTACAAACTTACAACAGTTACATTATTTGCAAAAAAGCGTTATTTATAATACAACGGCAGAGCGGCTGCCTTTTAAATAACAAAACTAAAAATATAAATCATATTAAAATATGATCGAATTTCATTGCATATTGATTTCATAAAATAAAGGCTATTCCATTTTGTGAATACAATATGAAGAGGAAGAGAATGTATCCTTACCTCCCCAATCACCACTTCCAGATCCTTTATCGTAATCTTCATCGTCTCCTACTTGATTTCTCGTCCAAATGCCACTGCCACTCCCCTCCGCCATATAAGAGTCTGCTTGGGGCAGTTCCGGCAGGATTCTCTGCCTCAGCAACTGTTGAAAGATTCAAATGACATTCATATTTTACAATTATCAATACAAATTAAGTATCGGTCGCGCATTCATATTTTAAATGTACCCCACTACTTTCAAGCGCCATTATACGATCAGTTACTACGCTAATTGCAAGTTAATGCGAGTACATTTAAATAATTTGCTTGACGTGATTTGAAAATTTACCAATCACTACCGAATTCGTTGCATGCTTGGATTTTAATTTAAATTCAGATTAAATGAAACAGATTTGTCGAGAAATAGGTCAGTCGCAAAATATTTATGCGATAGAGTATAAATAAGTTTCTTACGAGCGAATAATAATGCATACCTTTCATTTAGTACAATCTTTTTTATTATATACATTAGCAAAGTGTATTTAGTTTGCGTATTAAAATAAAAGAGTAGAAAATACTTGTACTTAAAAAACACAGGGTGACGAAAAGCAACTTAGACAAAGTTTCAAAACGAATATTTTTATAGCAACATATCGCTAACTCAATTTGAATGATGTTATGCTTCCTTAGCCACGCAATTTCTATGGAAACCATAAATGAAACTTCCAACAGCATATAGAGCTAAAGGCACTGAAGAATGGTGTAAGGTACAATTTCTTATAAAACAAAAATTGTCGCCTTATTCACTGACTTGAATTTAATAGATTTTTCCATCATGAAGAAACGGATGTGTGCTAAACCTCATAAGACTTTGTTATCGTTAAGAAAATACTTGTGAAGGAATGAGACCTATAGCAGAAAATTTTACGATATATTTACAGCTTTTCATTAAAGTCAACGGTCACAAATATGTCATGTAACAAGTTTGATTACAGGTCCCGGTATTTTTAAAAGCTGATTAATTTCACTTTGAGTTTAAACTATTTTATTGTTTTGTTTAAAAAAAATATTAAGGTCTTTATCTGTTCATTTTTCCATATACTTAATTCGAAAGACACATACAAAAGAAATAGTTCAGACATTAAAACTAGATACACAAGGTGTGTAAATTAAGTAATAAGACTGGAGACGTAACATTTGATATGGCAGTCCTGGATCTTCCAAATATAGATTGTAGGTGAACCTTTCATACACTTTTAGTACAGTGAAATCGGTAGATTAATGTGGCTGTCCTTAGCGAACTTGTTAAATAAGTTTTTGTAGTGCGTTCTAAAAATGAGTGATATTAATGTGGAGCAATGGTCAGTTATCAGAATTTTCTTCCGACTTAAAATTTTGAATAACTCCAGTAAGTCAAGTAAGACAGTTTTTTTTTTATCAATAGGCCAGGTTTTTCGGAAAGAAGATTCAGAAGGACTTAAACAGCAAGAACTGATGGAATTCGGGATCTCGAGTTTTCAAATCAGTAATTCGCAGTCAGAATGATCGGAAAAAAGTTCCAATGTGTATTACATCACTGTTCATCAGATTTTGAATAACGAATTTGATTTGAACTGCGAAAAAGTATCATGCCTGTGAGATATCAAGAACGGCAACGTTTTCGACCAATTAACACATTCTTGAGGCTCAACCTTTCTTTTTACCTGACCAGGGGTCTGTCCAGACATTTTGTGAAAGGTCCGTTTTTCGTGAAATTGTGAAAAAATTACTCACATTCTTTTAACCAGGGTCCGCTTTTATGAATTTGTGCAAATAGGGTCCGTTATTGCAAAAAAAAACTTTTTCAAGGAGTTTTTAAATTGTAAAGACATACAAGATTATGCTCAACACTGTAAAATTATAATTAAAAAAATTAAATTTTAAAAAATAAACAACAATTGCTGCTTCTAAATTAGAGATGCAACATACAAATATTTGGTATTTAGCCTATACTGCTGAACGCAGAATATTAATTTCGGACGAATAATGGAAGAATCGTCTGCCGAAGACAAAACTTAATTCGTTTACATCCATCTTTCTTGTTTTCTGCCCTGGAAAGGGTTTATTCGATTAACAAAATAATAATGAAGATAAACTAATTTGTGAAGGATCCGATTAAAGGAAAAATCATTTTGTGAAGGGTCCGTTTTTAAGTTAAAATAGTTTGTGAAGGGTCCGTTTTTATGAAAAGATATTTTGTGAAGGGTCCGTTAACGGACCCAAATTTCTTCTAAACAGACCCCTGCTGACTTGAGTTCTTTTGAACTTTTCCTCTTTCCCAGATTGAAAATTCATTTCGATGGGCGTCATTTTGGGACAGTGGAAGACTGTAACCAATCAGATAAAGACTATTTTTGTATCGAGCTCCAGCACTGCTATTAGGAATGGAAATATATTTTCCCGAGGGAATTATTTTAGACGGAGACAATATTGAATTGTAATTAAATTCGAATAAAAAACCTAATATCGTTATCTAATTTACACCACTTGTAAGTCTGTTTATAATAATAATAAAGTGATTTAACAGAAGAACATATTTTAAAAAAAATGGCTGCAACATACCCTGCTCATTTTTTGTAGCTTTTCATCGAGTGCCATGACAACAAGATCGTCAGTTTCTGGTGCTTTCATTTCAGGATTGTATTTTTGGGCTGCGACTCCCACGCCTGCGATCGTATTCGTGTACCTGGAGGAAGAGGAAAAAAAACATTTTTAGAAAAGTTTAGGCTATTTAACGTATTATTCAAAATATTTAGATTCAAAATTCTAAAATAGTATATATATTCAGCTTCTTTTTTAATAATAGTTAACTATGTCAACTGATTTATCAAAAAATGAAGGTTGAGAGCAAATGTAAATGGAGAATTACATCTGTTATTTCTTACTGTATAATCATAATAAAAGAGTTCATATTTATCAGCAAATAAAATTTACATTTACAATAGATATTGATACAATTCTTGTTTTATTATTAGATTAATCTCTTAAAATTCGAACAAATTCATTAAAATTACTATTCAACGACATATGTAAAAACTGTATAAATACATTATATCAAAACTATTGAGTTTATATTTATCATAGAATTATAGATAGTAATAGAATTATCGCTTCATTATGAAATTCATTTCTTAAATATTGAACATAGAAAATTAAAATATACACAGCAAATAAAATTACAATTTAACAACATATGTAACTAACTGTACCAACATATATCAAAACCATGGAGTTTACATTTATCATAGAATATCATACAAAAATATGAATTTTGCTCTATTATAAAATTCGTCTTCTGAATATGAAACATGTAAAATTTAAATGTCCGTAAAAATTATTGTTTAACAGATAGATATGTAACTTTAATCTGCTTCATTAAGAGTTTGGTCTCTCAAATATCGAACAGACAAATTTAAAATGCACCTAAATTATTATCAAACGGATATATAATTGTGTAAGCACATTATATATCGGTAAAACGTTTAATATTCCCTCTCTCTAACAAAAAAATAAATAAATAAACAAATAAAAAAAAGCTGCATTTAATAATAAATTTATTAGGTTGAAAGAAGCAATGCGGATTTTTAGTTTAGTTTTACCGAATTAAATCTAGAATAACTCAGCAAGTCGAATTGAGTTGAACAAATAAACGAACAAGTTAAAAATCTCTTTTCTTAGAAATGAAAAATAATAAATTCCCTACTACTTTCCATTTAATGTAAGGAATCTGAAGAATTTTTTATTTCCCCTCTGAATAAGACGTCTCTAGTAAAGATAAATAACGTCTGGGTCACTTTCCAGACTAAGTAAATATTACCTCGTTTACTAGGAACACTTTTTTAGAGCCAAGAGTGTTAGAATTTTTCGATATATTTTATATTAACTTCAGTAGTCCTGTCTTATTTCGCAGGACAGCGTTAGTACGATTTTCTAGTTGAGGTTCGTGCAAGCTGATGAATTAGTTGACAAAACATAGTTAATCGCTGGTTTGTATTCAGCGATGGATCGTTTATTTGTGTGTAGAGAATAAAGTGGTCTTAATGGCGCCCATTTTGAATGGAATTCGAGAAAAAGAAAATGTATGATTAATGCTGCTGGCATATTTCAGACATTGTACTGGAATATGTACAGAAATAAATAAAGATATTTTTGAAAAAGTAAATTTTTCCCAAGAAAAATACATAAGAAGATGCAGTAGCGTGTTAATTTTGTCAATTAACCAAAAGTTGAACGTTTTAATAGCTTCACACAATCCGAAACTGTGATAATATAATTTAGAATCAGATTAGATCTTATAATAAGATTCTTACTGAGCGACCAAAAAATGATCCGACAATTTAAACGAAATCAATTAAACAAAGATAGAAATGTACACTTTACGGCGTTCCGTTCTGTTTAGTAGACAGGATTAGTTACTCTCACCAAGTTTTGCTAGTTACAAGTTTGACAATAGATCATACTGCTATCCAAGGAAAACTATAAAACTGTATTTTCAAAATAACCACGTTTTGCTGCAACAACAAGGAGCTGCTGTCTGTGGACTAAACTAACAGACAGCCGAGCAAATTTTTGAGTTGGATTGTCTAATAGGGATAAGCAATCACTGTTTTAGTTAACTGTCGCTATCTGGTGATGAACATTGTAACTAATTTTGAAACTTGATGAGAATAAATAATCTTTTTTTAGCAAAATGCAGATTGTACATCCAAAATCGTCAGCTTTTTTCGGTATCACGGACTAATCACAATTTCGATCGCCAAGAGTAAGATGGGAGTTTCATTAGAAGACACCCCCAGAGCATTATACTATTTTTAACTATTAAAAATCCTTTTATAACTCAATGACCCCAATAGGGGTATTTTTATTTGTCTTGTTTACAGATTCATTTTTATTTGGAGATTTGACTTCTTTATCAAAAGGGATTTATTTATAAGAACATGATTAAAGGTTTTGAAAGACAAATAAATCCTCAAATTGCCAGTCTGAATTAAACATTCCATATTTAATTAAGAATCGAGTTAATAAGGATAGAACGAAAATAATCCAGTCCAATGCAATTCTGAAGCAGTATACCAAGTGTGCAAGAATAAAAGGTAGGGATGCTGAGAGAGTAAGTTTCAAAGGAGGGGGATCCATGATTATTATGCGAAGGAGTATTCTTTAGGGAAGAGGGGTCGACCACCCTTTTCACTTTCTCTGCGGTCGAATTATTCGATTTGGGAACAAAGTAAGGGAACGATACTGATATTTTGGTAAAATGGCAGTGGAGCACTTATTCTGATATGCTAAAAAGAACCGGCTTTGTTTTTCCAATATTTCTAGATTTGTACTACAGTTATACCATGGATTTCATTTATATAGTGTTTTTCACGGGAAGGCTGGGCGATAAGTATTGTGCGCTACAACGATATTTAAAAACGTATTCTCCCAATATCGTGTTTAGGGCAGTGTTTCCCAAAGTGTGGTAACCGTACCCCCAGGGGTACGGGAAGAATTTAGCGGGGGTAAGCTTTCTTATGCGGAATATCTTGCAACAAACGAAAATTTCAGAAAATTTTATTTAAAAACAAAGCTAGACATGAAATTTACGATTACGTATTTTTCTATCAGCTATTTTTTGCAAAGTTAACAGTTAATAATGAATGATGTCAACAGCCAGTTGTGATTTTTAACTTTTGAGCAATTTTTTTATGGTAAAAAATGCGTCCATTTTTTTATGAGTGGTACACAGCGTTACGAAAAATTTAGAAAGGGTACACCAAAGTCATAAGTTTGGGAAACCCTGATTTAGTGTACCGTAGCCGGAAACCTACGGGAACTGCTACCCCAACGCAAAGTTATTTGATTAATAGAATAAAATCATACACTAGTTTAATTTTATTGTGCCACAAACTAACGATACTCCCGATAAATACTGAATTTTCTAGCTTTATAAAAATAAAGATAAAAAGAATATTCCAAGTGCTTTCCAATCGCTTCGAATGATGCCACCAGGCAAGATTTTCAACACTTACTTTCACTCAAACAATTACCCTTCGCAAATTAATAACAGCAATTACTATATAAAGCCAGAATCGGGGGAGTGCTTTAGATCACGCGTTGGCCAAGAGACTCGTGACTGCAAAAGGAATTGCCGGTTTCATGCTTGTTCGCATTACATTTCATGTTCGGAACCCGAAATTCACTTTAAGGATGGGGAGACCATTAGCAAGATGAATGTCTTCATCGTGCACTCTGCACTTATTATGAGAACATACGGGCATCTCATTCACGATATGTCATTTCCATGAATGTTATCATTTGAGTACTCCCAAATGAGTAGCTCGTTTTCAGAGCTTGTACCATTTTATTGTGGAAGTGGACATTATACACAAAAATGCTTTAAAAAATATTATAAGAGAGTGTTTATTAGCGTTATTAAAGGATTAATAGCATTTTGGTAGTTAAATTTTAGTCAAAACGAGAGCCGGGTGAAATATCGATGCATTTAAAATATCGTACAACGTTATTTTAGAATATTTTCCCACAAGATCTAAGTAAATGTCATATCCTACGATAATATCGAAATATTAATTAGCAACAGTAGCTACAATACCATTATCAATGTTTATCAAACACGATAAAATAGTGGTAACGATAATTATGGAAGAGGATATCGCGATAATTATCGAACAAGATACTATACTATCTTGAGTGCCGATTTTAACTCTATTGTTGTATTTTTATAACTAAGCATCGATTTTTTATTTAAGTTATGGTCAGTACTGATGTTAATAAAAGAATGTTTGTTTTCAATTAGGTAACAAAAATATCGTCAATAGTAATACAAATGAAATATATATCGTAAAGTGTCGATATTTTTGGCGATATATCGAGATATTACAGTTTTGTTTAGCCCTAGTCATACATTATATTGTCAATACTGATATGAATGAGTTACAAGCAGTTAACTGGATACGTTATTTACGTTTATAAATCAAAAACAGTATGGATTTCAACAAGATTAAATGAAGTTATTGTGCTAAAATTCTAAATTAAGATTGTTGAACAAAGATAACAAAATAAGCAGCATTTTAAATCTTTTTTGGGAAATAAAAAACAGTCAGGTTTTCTTCAAACAGTTGCTCCTACACCTTCTATTAGTAAAAATATCTATAATTATTTCAACAATATTTTAGAAATATCTATGATTATTTTAACAATATTTAAGAAATATCTCTAATTATTTTAACAATATTTTAGAAATATCTCTAATTATTTTAACAATGTTTTAGAAATATCTATAATTATTTTAACAATATTTTAGAAATATCTATAATTATTTTAAGCAAAATTCTAAATCAATATGCGATGTGTTCAAAACTAGCACGTGGTATCCCAGGAAATATTATATTTCTACGCTCTACTGCTGACATTTAACGAGAACTAAGACTAAGAATCTATTAGAACAACATATACCTTCGATGATTAAATAAAAACCAACATTTTCCGAAGACGAACTCATGCTACATTACCGTCGACATCTCAGATTTGGGTTTATATTTATGATTTAAATTTATAGTCATCAATGATATGTGATAAACCAAGAAACGTTATATTTTGATGCTCAATCACTAATTTTTCAGGTATGAAAGTTGCCGGATCTATCTGAACTAACATACTTCTTTGATGATTAGATGAAAACCA